TTTTTAATTGTTCGGTGAAATGAAATTCATAAATACGGTCAGTGACCCGACGTAAGATTTGCAAAGGTGATACGGCGTGCAAAAAGAGGTAGATTTACGCTGGCAGAACAAGAGAACCGTTCTTTATTCTGAAGCAGTTAATTTGTAGATTTAAGCTGACTAAGCTTCTTTAAACTGGCCAAGCATTACAGGCACAAGCAAATTCCTGAGTCACCTTTCCTCCCCCTTAACAATCGAGCTTGCAACGAATCGTTTTTATCGATTCAAGAACGGCGCTATTCGAAGAAATTAAATTTTGCTTAAACAAAAAGAAATGGACGAGTATCTCCGGCGAAACTGGAAAACTTTTATCGCGAATGAAAATATTTGTAACGTTCAAATAAGTCTGAACGAAGGCGAGTTGTTTCTCGACTGTTTATTTTTCTCTGCTTCACTTTCGGCACAATTTTCTCGTTTAAAACCGTGGAATCTATCCCCCTTTCTTCCCCGCAATCGCTTTATTTTTACACACCGGCAGCGTGTACACGCGCGAAATGTGACATTGACAAAAAGAAGAAAAACACGCGAGGGAATGAAAACGAAATATGCATAGAGATGGACGGGACAAATTCAATGAAAAATACATGAGTGCCCTCCGAGGAACTTCGTTATCGGGGTAAGTTATAAAATCCACAGGAACGGACTGTCCACTAATGTTTTTGATTAATGTTTTATGCATCGCGATGCTGCTACTTTCACAGATTCTTTTTTCGGAAAATAGTCACTGATGAATTCTGCAATCCCATCTCCGACACTTTTTTGCGATCGTTTTAATCTCGTGCTCTTTCGTCAATGTTTTCTTAAGGACGATTTTTTTATAAGTTCATAATTAATTTTTGAGAGGATCCTTCGTATCGAATTAAAAGATTCGTATCTTCGCACGTTTATTCTTAGCAGGAAGGTAACATTGCACCCGAGTGTATATAAATTTTGGAAAGCGGATGAACTGTGCGGTTCGAATGCATGCATAAATGATGGGGAAATCACGTGCACCGTCGGCGTAATTGTCCGTGGATCTGGAATCATTAATACGGCCATTAGGCATCGGTTCTCGAGATTCACGCAAGCACAGCCAACCGAACGAACGTGCAAATCGCGATAAGAGAACGAACGCGCACTTTTCTGTTCCCGCTTTCTCGCGTTGCAGTTCCCGTAATGAAACTTTCCACCGAGATCTAGATAGCTACGTGGCTGCTCTTTCATTTTCGTTCTTTTGACCACCCGCGTCCAACGGTTTAATGCCCATTGAAAATACATCCCTTTTTTATTTCGTTCTCGTTTTGTTTTTCGGTCTCATCGATTCGAATATCCATCGACAGTTGGGTCACCGATGGTGAGTACTCGATTTAATAATGGCTTACTCTGAATATTATTTATTTATTGTGAGGGATTAAATAGAATATATAAATAGAGAGTGTTGCATAAAATTTATTTGTTATTGTATTGGTATAAAATATATAAACATAATTGAAAGAAAATGACAAGTACATAAATATAATATGAACTACTTGAGGACCTCAGAGGGATGCACCTGCAGTTATATAAAATGATTGACACAAGTTAAAAACAATTGCATAAATTAAACAATTGAAACAATTTATTTGTTATTGTATTGGTACAAAATATATAAACATAATTGAAAGAAAATGGCAAGTACATAAATATAATATGAAGTACTTGAGGACCCTAGAGGGATGCACCTGCAGTTGCATAAAATGATTGACACAGATTAAAAACAATTGCATAAATTAAACAATTGAAACAATTTATTTGTTATTATATCGGTACGTACAAAATATATGAACATAATTGAAAGAAAATGACAAGTACATAAATATAATATGAAGTGCTTGAGGACCTCAGAGGGATGCACCTGTAGTTGTATAAAATGATTGACACAAGTTAAAAACAATTGCATAAATTAAACAATTGAAACAATTTATTTGTTATTGTATTGGTACGTACAAAATATATCAACATAATTGAAAGAAAATAACAATTACATAAATATAATATGAAGTGCTTGAGGACCTCAGAGGGATGCACCTGTAGTTGTATAAAATGATTGACACAAGTTAAAAACAATTGCATAAATTAAACAATTGAAACAATTTATTTGTTATTGTATTGGTACAAAATATATAAACATAATTGAAAGAAAATAACAATTGCATAAATATAATATGAAGTACTTGAGGATTTCAGAGGGATGCACCTGCAGTTGCATAAAATGATTGACACAAGTTAAAAACAATTGCATAAGTTTATTTATTTATGCATCAGTATGTACAAAGCATATAAACATAAATGATAATTAAAAAAAAAGTAGGAACAACCCTTGCAGCATAGGGGGATGCGGCTATCACGAAACAGGATTGAGGGTGACGACCGCTGCGACGAAACAATAAATTACTGATACTATGGTAAATTACAACACGAAAGCGGCGATAAATGGTTGTTTATCTGAACATGGCATGGTCACTAGAGACCGTGGCGTTAAACCTGTAGGAATTGATTGGCAAGCGATACCGGTTTATTAAATTCTTCGATGCACGTACACGCTCGCTTCTATCGCAGATTGTATCGTTTGAATTCGATAACGGCCTGATTCTTTCTAATCCCGTAATTATCACGGTTTTATTCTGATAATTTAACGCCTCTGTAATTACCGATAAATTTCGATTGAGGTTGATAACACTCGTTAGAGCATGAGAGCAAGCCTTACCGAATTATACTAATCATCAACTTGTACAAACAAGTAATTTTCGAAGAAAGATTTATTCCTACGGATGATAAATACAAATATTGTTTTTGTATTTCTGTTATATCACATTTGCAGAATATTAACTTTATTTGTAAAATTGATAAGAGCTCAAAGGGCGCTCGGTGACGATCAATCACTTTTAATCCATTCATTGCCAGGCGAACGAAGGTGTAAAAAGAACGATAGGTTGAAAAAATATATTCAATTTCGTCGGGAAATCCGAACTGCATATCCAGCCGCTCCCCGATAACAGCATTCACGATAAAGGAACGTAAACGCGAACGTTCACAACCAAATTGAAGATAATGATAGTCTTTATTTCCATAATTGTTACTGAGAATAAGCATGCCACGCTCGTGCTTTGATATTCCTCGATATCAGATTCCACCCTGGCATAGTTTCCGCGAGAATTATGTAATTTGCACAAATCAACTCGATAAGGGAACACATCGTGGGATGCAACTTTCGGGGAGAAAATTTTCTTAGCGTTCAATTGAATATATTCCTCCCCGTCTTAAACTCCAAAAATTTTCTGTAATTACCTCAGAGCGTGTCGAACGAACTCACCTAATATTTTCAATTACCAGATTAGAACATTTTTAATATCTTTAAAAGTTGACGATTCATATTACCGTAGGTGTGGTGCCTCTGTAGTAATTAGTATACTGACAACGAAAACTAATCTCATTAGCAAATTTAAAGCGCATAAAGTACAAGTAAATTTTCATAATTTGAAGATACCAAGAAAATTAAAGACGTAGAATATAATGTAATAATCGTTCTCATAAACTATTCTGCATTTTCAAGCATGGTATGTAAATTAATCGATTCTGCATTATTTACATAAATTAGTGATATCAATTAGTAGGATATTCTGATGCGGTTATGAAACATTAACCATCTATCATTCAAAGTCATTATTAATAACGAGATGCAAAACTTTGCTGTTAAATTTATTGCGGTTATTGAATCACGGTAATTCTATTTACACGCATTCTGCGCTCTGTGAATAAGTTTGCCACTCTGTTATGCGATGTGTTGTTCCATCTATGTACAAAATGGCGGACGGAGGTCTCATCATTTAACCCTGTCTTTGTACAATTTTTTAACTACCCATATCTTTATTTACAGAATCTACCGACAAGTCTATTAGCTAAATAAGACGAACAAATAAGAAGTTCAATCGTTCGAAAATGACATTAGTTGGTAAAGGTGTTCCAATTAATTTGACGATTTCAATTAGAGCGGAATAGCTTTGAAGTGGCGTCAATCGGAATATTATATTCGCGCGAAAACAAGGTAGTTTCGCCGATAGAACATTGACAGATGACACGCGTTGAAAATGTTAAACGTGGGAAATTGTTTATCGGGAATATAGGAGATACGTCATTTACGATATCAACCGAATGACAATGATACTGGGTGGTACATTAATTTCTACCCTGGTGGACGCGATACGTATGATTTTCATTTCAATCTTTCACAAAAAAAGTAGGCAGAAATTTTACGGTTCACGTTTCGGCCAAATAATGGGCTGCAAAATACAATGCCGCAAACCTTTGGTTAAACAGCTATTGTAATTGCCAGAACGACACTCCGGAATGGCAATGTGAATTGTTTTATATCGTTCTGGTATTTGAAAATTAAAAATGCATCGCCCTAATAAAATACCTCCATTTTTGTGCAAGTAAGCGCATTAAAAAATGTGCAATATAAACAAATATATTTTCATTACTCTGTTTAGAATGAGGACCATTGCTTGGCACAAATTAAATTTTTTGTCAAACGTAACTCCTCAGACACCTTATTAAATTACTTCAAAAAATATGTAACGAAAATCATCGTGGTAAAAGTTGAATTAAAAATCATTATTTATCTAGTTATAATGAACAAACGTAACTCCTCAGGCACCTTATTAAATTACTTCAAAAAATATGTAACGAAGATTGTCATAGTAAAAGTTGAATTAAAAATGATTATTTATCTAGTTGTAATGAACATGTGAGTGGTGATTAAATTTAATTAGCAAACTGACATGTCGTAATTGCACGAAGGTACCACGAGAGCATAATACGCGTTCAAACACGAAAATCTGGTGCAACGCATGGGCTCCTAATTATTATTAGTTCTCGTTACCGCGAGAGAGACTATCTCATCGTCTCCGTCTCTATTTCTGTTTGGGCGTGGAATATCTATTTACACGCATTCTGCGCTCTGTGAATAAGTTTGCCACTCTGTTATGCGATGTGTTGTTCCATCTATGTACAAAATGGCGGACGGAGGTCTCATCATTTAACCCTGTCTTTGTACAATTTTTTAACTACCCATATCTTTATTTACAGAATCTACCGACAAGTCTATTAGCTAAATAAGACGAACAAATAAGAAGTTCAATCGTTCGAAAATGACATTAGTTGGTAAAGGTGTTCCAATTAATTTGACGATTTCAATTAGAGCGGAATAGCTTTGAAGTGGCGTCAATCGGAATATTATATTCGCGCGAAAACAAGGTAGTTTCGCCGATAGAACATTGACAGATGACACGCGTTGAAAATGTTAAACGTGGGAAATTGTTTATCGGGAATATAGGAGATACGTCATTTACGATATCAACCGAATGACAATGATACTGGGTGGTACATTAATTTCTACCCTGGTGGACGCGATACGTATGATTTTCATTTCAATCTTTCACAAAAAAAGTAGGCAGAAATTTTACGGTTCACGTTTCGGCCAAATAATGGGCTGCAAAATACAATGCCGCAAACCTTTGGTTAAACAGCTATTGTAATTGCCAGAACGACACTCCGGAATGGCAATGTGAATTGTTTTATATCGTTCTGGTATTTGAAAATTAAAAATGCATCGCCCTAATAAAATACCTCCATTTTTGTGCAAGTAAGCGCATTAAAAAATGTGCAATATAAACAAATATATTTTCATTACTCTGTTTAGAATGAGGACCATTGCTTGGCACAAATTAAATTTTTTGTCAAACGTAACTCCTCAGACACCTTATTAAATTACTTCAAAAAATATGTAACGAAGATTGTCATAGTAAAAGTTGAATTAAAAATGATTATTTATCTAGTTGTAATGAACATGTGAGTGGTGATTAAATTTAATTAGCAAACTGACATGTCGTAATTGCACGAAGGTACCACGAGAGCATAATACGCGTTCAAACACGAAAATCTGGTGCAACGCATGGGCTCCTAATTATTATTAGTTCTCGTTACCGCGAGAGAGACTATCTCATCGTCTCCGTCTCTATTTCTGTTTGGGCGTGGAATAATGTCGTTTGGCAATTAAGATCCATTCAACAGAGGGAAACGCGACGGACCGATGCTCCGTCGAGGGTTCCATTTTCGCCCGTGACGGTGGTGTCTCTTGTCCGACAGAGTCCCGAATAGACGCGCAGCCACGAAGACAATCGTACGTAGGGAAAATCGAACGGGCGGGGAAAGCAACAAACGTATCTATGTATGTGCATGTCAAGGTGCCCCAATTTGCGTGCGAATACGTGGAAAAAGCTCGCTGGTGATTTACAATACAGCGCCTAAATATAGTGCTTGGCATTGTTGAGAAAGAAATACTTTGTGTAAAAAAAAGAAAAACGAGCGAGCGAGAACGAAACACGGAAAAGAAAGAGGCGGATGAAAAGCGAGGGAGTACGAGAGGGATAAAAAAAAAGCAACGTGTAAGCTTTGACTGTGCCATCCCTGCGGCAACCGTATAAAAAACATAAACGAACACCGGGATCAGTCCTCTTCCAAGATTTACAGTCACGACCTATTTGAACGACTTCCTCGAGTCATCGAAAGTTTCCCGCCGACGAAGCTTGTTTCGAGACGAGAGTCCTCAAAATTTGCGACTCCGCTCTTGCCGCTCAGAAATTAGATTCGCTGGATACGGCCTGAGTTTCGAACAAAGGATCGAACTTCGGATATGCATTGTCTGGAAACGGGATCAAGTTTTTGATGGATTTAATTAATTATTGGATTACCAAGTGACCGATTCGCAGTTATCGTATCTTAAATCGTAAATGTGGTCGTTCGTATTTAATGTAGCTCCAGAATGATGTATCAGAATGATGACAAAATCTCGTCAGAGTTCCCATACATTTCGAAATCGGCCATTTGGTATGAAACAATCTAATGTAATCACGTTCCGGTAGGGATGATTCAAAAGCGTGCGGGATTCAAAATGAATGCGTTCAATTTATCCTTTCGAGAGGTTCGTTGAAGCTCTTCCATCTGTAATAACTCGTCAGAGATTCATTTGGAGCGGGATCTACACGTTTGGAATTAGACACGTTAATGTAAAGTGTTCCTAGAGCAAATGGTCGAATTCACAGACACGTGTACTACATACGCTCCCAGGGAATGTCTCATACATAGTTTCGGGTGCGCTTTAATTTTGTTTCGTTCATTACAGAATTCCACCAAACGAATCTTCGTAAATCTAAATTGCCTTGCTTTTAATATAACCGAAAGAGATACGAACATCGGCGTTCAACTTTCGCTATCTATTTATTAAACGATCGGTTTTTCGTTCATTCGATTAAAATTCACTGATTCGTAGGCAATTAAAGTTTGCGCCCCGGTAAAACGTGAACAGCTCTTTTTTATGCCTCTATTGTTCCTCCTTTACCGCGATAGAATTCACAATCCAATTTTCGAGGGCCGAGATAGTTTCTCTGGTTATTACCCTCCGCCAGCATGCAAACACATCGATATTGCGATAAAAAAGCAACCACGAATCCGAGGTGAGTCTAATCGCGGCACAGCCAGCGATAAAGGACAATGGCAAAAAATGGCCAATTTTAAACCTTGCCACCGTGCTAGAATTTTTATTGAACGTATAAAATACTACCTCGTATATATCGCATTACGGGCAACGTATAAGAAGGGATATATCACAGCCTATGCATAATAGAATCTAAACTCGCAGATAAAGTGTACTCACAGTCTTTTACCTTCTGCTTAAAATTTTTTTTGTTTTTAAAAATATAGCAAATCCAGGAAGTAAAGATCTGAGACCTTACAAAATTTAATTAATAAAAGAAATAAAAACAGTGCATAAAATTAAAAGTCAAGGTCAATATACCAGTTTTTCTACAGATATGATTACGTTAAATTCGTAGAAATAATATCGATTACCAGGTCATACGGCGCGGAGGGTGCAAGGAGGGTGAGCCACCCTAAAACACCTAATCCCGACCACCCGCCATTACAATTACCTCGTCTATCAAGCTGTTGCCAACGAGATAAACGAGTTTTGACACTATTTAGCCTGTTGACGCGTGTAAAGGAAGATAGATCTACATTTATCTGCCACATCGATCTTAACACCGATCTGTTACAATATTCGCTACCATCGACAGCATCGTACAAGGACAATTACACTCCCCATTAACATGTCGTGATGAGCAATTATTCCGTGGATAGGCAGCTAGCAATAATTTGTACGCACGCCACAATAAATTCATTGAATTTAATTATTTAAAGCTTCTATTAAATTTGTACAACAGCATAATCAATTCTATACACGTGTCAAAATGCATAGGAAACCGCATCGCAAAACGAGATAATAAATTTATATTGAATGCATACGTCGCAAACATGCTAGGTAACAGATTTAGTAGTGTAAGAGAATAAATATTTTTGAGCAAGTTTTTAATAATCGGATATAAACTGTTATATTTCACGGCAACGTTGAAAATTTTTTACCGTTCTCATTTATCAGCGTTAATTCTTCGCTAAAACTGAATTGGTCTGGTTGGCTTTTGTTGCAGCGCGCCGGCAATAAATTTGCGATTCCGATATCGGACCTGTTAAAAGGTTACCGAAGAATTAATAACCGATCGTTCTATAAATATTACTCGGGTCAAAGGGTGGACGAGGTTCGTAATTCGTGTAGCGTGTTAACTCGAACCTTGCACCCTTCGTTATTTACGATCCTTGATCATTCCATTCCTGAAGGGTTCGTTAAAATATATACGTGGAAGTAAATTTTCTTCAATTCCTTGGAACGCTTCTCGCAAAAAGATGTCACGCTACATAAACTTACAAGTGAAGAGTTTCTTTAAAGTTCTACCTCGCGATTATTAGTGTTAAATTATTAATATTTGAAGTGACGTGTGCACGTGTGGTATTGCCACGGGTTGAGTTACGCGTTGTATTGCCACGCGTTGAATTACGGTACGTTGTATGGCCGCGCGTTGTGTTACCACGAATTCAATTACGACGCGTTTAATTACGGCGTATTGAATTACGGTTGCGTTGAATTGCAATGCATTGTATCGCCACACAATATATCGCCAAGCATTTTTAATTCCTAGAAGTCTATAAACTAACAGATCGTAATCTTGATTTATCGCCACGAATATAAAACCTCTATTAGAGAAAAATAATTTGAGAAGCGAAGCAGGCTTTAGAGCCGAAAATCAGGGTTTCTAGGACAAGTCTATTCCCGTAGCAGGCTTTTACGTCAGTTTAATTACCAAAAACGGTGACGCAGAGTTTAGCCGCGAAATTTATGGCACTGCTCGTTGTTAGTGATTGAGATCGGAGTTACATATAACACCAGCTGTAGTTGGGAAGATTAACAACGCCCCTTAACTGCAGGATTTGACGTTCAAAGACGTCCGAGCAGCAGAGAGAAGTTTGCCAGTTAGCAAGGAAACGGAAACCCAAAGCCGGTTCCCGGGACTTTGTCGTTTACGCTCGTATCGTAAATACTACTGTGTGCTTTGTAAATTGGATGTTACAATTCGAATCTCCGTCGAGATCACGAAACTGTGCTCGACTTCCGTCGCGACACTTCCTCATTGAAGGGGTTAATTATTTCTCTGCTCTGCCGTGTAACTAGCATTTTCCTCCTGACTTCTGATTATAGTTTCTCTTGGCATCGGTATATTTTCTTTTCTCAAATAATTTTCTATTCCCTGTACAAACTTATGAACTTTGCAATTTACTATCACGTTATTAAACCTACTACTTCTTTTTATAATTAGCCTTGTCTAATTTTTGTGTCTAAAGTACTTAACAATTATTTGTACCATGCGAAGCATTTTTTGTTCCAACGTTTCAAAAAAATATTTTTAACGATGACAGTAATCGAGTCAGTGGTTGCCTGATTTTTGAGATGTTTTCTTCGAGAGATGATCGACGTGAACCAGAAGCACTTCTTCGGAGAGTAGAATCGATCGCTTGCCCCGTCTCGATACTTTGCCCGATTGTTCCGGTAGCTAAAGGGCGAGTACCTCTCGAGAATATATAATAGAAATATTGTTAAGAGGAAAACGAACGCGAAACCAATCCAGACATCGATCTTAAAGATCATTAGGGACCTGAAGAACGGAAACGGCTCCTTTCTCTCTTCAGCATCATTATCGCGAAACCTGCTTCTGCAAGGTCTATCATTTGGAAGTTGAACTTTTAGGAGAAATCAATTCATCGATACATCAGTTTAATCGCACAGATATTCTGGGTATTTTAAGACATCCACCAATTTGATCGACGACTGCCGTTTAGAGAAGCGAACTTCCAGGCAATTAAAAGGAAATATTTATAGTGCAATATTCTTGCACGGTGTAACAAAGTAAATTACGTCTAGCAATTAATGGTTAATGAAAGGATTACGCGTCTAGCAATTGAAAGAGAGATTAAACGTTCTGAGGGAAGAAATGGTGGAATGAAAATCCTTTGAGAAGTGAATTGTTCGCCCGACAAAGACTTTAACGCTAGGTTCGGCCTCGACAATTTGGCAGTTACATCTCTACCGATCCTCGTCGGCATATTGCTTGCTGCTTTAATACTCTGCTTCTAATATTGCTGGGATTGCGATCAACTAAGGCGGACGGCGAAAAAAGGTATGCCCTCTTTGTAAGAACGCTACGAACTCGATTCGAAATACGGGAATTAATGAAATGTTTAACTCAAAGGAACACTGGGGAAGTAATCAACTTCTTCGTTTTGCCGATGTACATTTGCATTTTTTTATCGTTTACGAATTCACGTTTCCTGCTTCGCGAAAGCAAATCGTTTCGAGCCCTTAAGTCGCGAGTCGTAGAAACGTGAGAAAGAAAAGACACACAGAGAAAAATGCTTTTATTTTTCCTTGACATTTTCGTAACCTACTTTCTGGGGACGTACTATAAATACCGAGATTATCTTTCGATATGTTTAACCGTTAGCTAATCAGTTGCATCACTGTTATTTTAACAAAAATTATTCGCTCGTAATTTATGTATAATTCCATTAATTTTCTTTTATCTTTCTTTCGAGAATTATACCGTGAATAATAAAACTTCTCTTCGATCTTTACAGCAATTAGCTAATTTGCGCTAACCTTATTTGGTAATAACAATTTACTGTTCGGAGTTGGTAATAAAAAGAACGCCATCCTCTTAAAATTAATCTTCCAGCTCTAATTCAAACATAGTTACGGCAGAAGTTACCTTCATAACTTACAACGCCTATAAATTAAATTTTCAAGTGCTATCCCTCAGAAGGAAGCTACTTTCATGAGTTACAGCGGCTATAAATTCAATTTTCAGGTGCTTCCCATCAGAAATTACAATCTCGAGTACATCCGACCGCGAAACCCTAAAACAATTTCGGGAAGAAACAATCGAAGGGTGAGAAACACGATGCGAACGTTTACGATGTCTAGTCACGAAGATATCGATATCCCGTTGGAAACTTTCGGCTGATACGTGACGAGGGAAAAAAAGCAGCGATCGACTAGTCGATTACTAAATAACAGGACACGCGAGCCAGCCACATGCAAATTCATCGCAAAGTGTCGCGGTCCTCGCATCGTGCTCACCCATTGCTTTCCTTTCCTCGCGGCACGTAAGGTCAATGGCGACTCAGAATTTTGTCGACCGAAAAATTGAAAAAACGAAAATGGAAGAAGACAGAAGGGACGTTGATACGGGAAATTGATTAGGTCATCCCCGCGGTAACCAATGGACAAACACAAATAGTACCGAGGGAGAAAGAGTGAGCCAACTTGGGTCTGGGTTTCGAGACCACCCTTCAGTTGTTCGACCGATTTCCTCACGCGATATCACCGGACTCGAAGCGATATACCCACGAATCGAAACAGACAGACTACTTACGTAATGCTATAAAATTAGTGAAACAAGGAGAATCGCTTCGAAGAAACATCGTTGCAACTTCATATAAATTGAAGCAAGGAAACTCTTCATAAGTTCAAAATGAAACTTGGATACTTCGTCGTTGCTGTGTTCCTTGGTTTGGAAGGAGAATTGTTGGTCCATGGGCAAGAAAATGATGGGAGAGAATCCTCGAAAACCAGACCGGTTAATCTTTGTAAGTAGATAATTACATGACTCTGTGAAAATCCTGTGCGAAGTGTCAAGAACTGTCTTTATACTCCCACGACTTTCGTGTGTAACGCATTTATTCTTATGATTAAATCCTTCCTATAATTCTTCATGTCACAAACTCAAACGAGACCTAATCTTTAACTTCGCCATATTCCCCCAGTCATCATCAACGACGAATCTAACAAAGTGGCCAACGCCAGCCTGACAGCCGCCATGAAGGCGATTAGAGAGAAGCATCCTGACTACCTAGGAAAAGTGTGGGTCGTACAACTGAATGGAACAGACATCAACGTCACCCTGGACCGCATCTGTAACTTATGGGACGCCGCGGTCGAAAAAGGAGGGACGAAAGTGCCAGATTTGGTAGTGGACACCACGACAGCTGGTCTAGGTGCCAAGATAACGAACTCGTTCACTGCTGCCCTAGGAATCCCGACGTTGTCCGCGCAATACGGTCAAAAAGGAGATCTTCTTTATTGGCGGAATTTGAACACCGATCAACAAGGGTACCTGGTCCAGGTGATGCCTCCGCTGGATTTGTTACCCGAAGCGGTCAGACGATTGGCTATCCAATTGAACATCTCGAACGCGGCGATTCTGTACGATCACAATTTCATCATGGATCACAAATACAAGAGTCTGCTGCTGAACGTGCCTACCAGACACGTCATGAGCGAGGCTTCTCAGCAGGTGACAAAGATGAAGAGGCAACTACCTCGTTTGAGGGATCTTGATATCGTGAATTATTTCGTTCTCGGGGACGAGAACACTATCAACATAGCTCTGGAAGCTGCGGAGTCCTTAAGCTTTACCGGAAGAAAGTACGGTTGGTTCTTGCTGACTCCGGAAATTGACATCTGGCCGACATGCGAATGCGTGAACGTGACGGTCCTCTTCATGAAGCCTAAGTTCGAGCTGAAGAAGCCTGCGGTGGAGACCGTCTTGCCAAAACCGATTATCTCTTCCGCTTTCTACTATGATCTCCTTCAGTTGGCCGTCGAAGCGATGAAATCGGCCTTGGACAACGGCGAATGGCCACTGAAGCCGAAACAAATCACGTGCGACGGATACAATAACACGAACACACCGGTGAGGAAGTTGGACTTCTTTGGCAAGTTGAAAGCCGCTTACGGGAACATGACGCCAACTTATGCCGGAATTAGATGGGGAACAAAGAACGGCGAGCATCAGGCAAGCTTCGAGATGTCCATCCACCTGGTGAACATCGAGCAAGATGTTATTTTCAGCACGGTTGATAGCGGATCTTGGAACGCTAGCATCGATTCACCTTTAGAGGCAAGTTTCGGTTTAAGTTATCGTTCTCGATCCTTTCACATTTATCTATCTGTCACTCCATAGTTAAAGACGAAGTTAGTGGTCAATTTTTGTTCTACTAATTTTCCTTCTTGATCGTGATAAAACGAATGTACGAACCTTTTAGAATTTAACAAAGAAACTTCATAAGATTTCTAGTTGCAAAAAAGTAAGTACCGATATGAATGTACAGAATGTTTTAGATCGTGTATGAATCTTTGATAGATCGGTGAAAGCACGTACTTTAGAACGATCGACGCGCGTTGGCATATAAAATTCATTTAATTTCCGAAAGAGCACGTTTAAAATTTATAACGTGCAAAATCAACAGAGTAAATGGATGGTGTCGTGCACGTGACATTATTAAACGAAATTAGGTCGGCCTAATATTGATCAGCGAAAAAATGGTAGTTTTGAGTCACGCGAGGATGAGGCTATTCGATAATCGAATGTCATGGTTGGAAGATAACACCGTGCAGAATGAATCGGTACAATGGAATGAAAATGAATACTTCATTTAAAATCTGTCTTTGATGAAAGCATCGCATCGTTTCGTTACGTCCTGTTCTTCGATCGAGCAACGAACAATGAGAGCCGAGGAAAGTTTCGCTTAGAAAAATTCAAAGGAAACGTAATTTCTTAGTCTTGACCCTTGGTCAAGCTAGCCATCACGATAGTTATACCCTTGACACGCGGTCGCTACATTTATTTACACTTATCGCTGATGACAAGGAGCACTGATGAAGATAACACATGCAACTCTATTTGCCCGTGCAGTATATACAAAAAAAGCGACTTAACGACTACGTAATTGTACTCCTGAGCTCCTAGTTTCACATAGTGGATATCCTGCTGCATGTTTCGCTCGAATTTTTAACCGATCATTGTACAAATTTTCAAACTGGCCCAGTAGTTTGATCATAGCACGATACGTTATCAGCGAAAAGTTACTTCATTATTTTTTTCAGTGATGTAAAGTTGTGACAATTTTGAATAAAGAATATCCTCCTATATTATTTAAACAATTAACCAAATGTTCTTCTTCGAAGATAACGAACAGTGACGTGATGAATACCACAGCAGTGAAGAGCTACAGGGTAGTCACCGTGCTTCATCCCCCGTTCGTGATGTACAACGAAGAAAAGAACGAGTACTACGGTTTCTGCATCGACCTGTTGAACGAAATCAAGGACACGGTGGGCTTCCAATACGAGATACGCGAGACCGAGGACAAACTATACGGCAATCTGAACCAGAACGGCAGCTGGAACGGAATGATAAAGGAATTGATCGAGAAACGAGCTGACATCGCTCTCGGTTCACTTTGGGTGACCGCGGAAAGGGAAGTGGTGGTGGATTTCACGGTGCCTTATTACGATCTGGTGGGCCTGTCCATTATGATGCTGAAAACTAAGACCGACACCTCGTTATTCAAATTCTTGACCGTGTTGGAGAACGAAGTTTGGTTCTGCATACTGGCGGCCTACATTTTCACCAGCTTCCTTTTGTGGATCTTCGATCGCTGGTCACCGTACAGCTATCAAAATAACAGGGAAAAGTATAAGAACGATGACGAGAAGAGAGAGTTCAATTTAAGAGAGTGTTTCTGGTTTTGTATGACTTCTTTGACACCGCAGGGTGGCGGCGAAGCCCCGAAGAACCTCTCTGGACGGTTAGTCGCTGCCACCTGGTGGCTGTTCGGGTTCATCATCATCGCCTCGTACACGGCTAATCTAGCCGCGTTTCTGACCGTATCCAGATTGGAGATACCGATCGAGACTTTGGAGGATCTCAGCAAACAGTATAAAATTCAATATGCCCCGGTAATCGACTCACCGGCTTACATTTATTTCAAAAGGATGGCTGCCATCGAATGGAGATTCTACGAGTGAGTATTCTTCGTTGAAACAATTTTTTGATTTACATTCAAATTATTTTTGGACAAATTTACTAATGAGGGAGACACGTTTAATTACACTGCAAAGTTCTAAAGTTTATGTTGCTTTTTGTGTAATACAAAAATTATAGATTTGAAGAGATTTTACGTGTATTTTAGCATTTGGAAGGAGATGAGTCTTAACGATAGTTTATCGGACACAGAAAGAGCCAACTTAGCAGTATGGGATTATCCTGTTAGCGACAAATACACGAAAATGCTGCAAGCAATGGAAGAAGCAGGTTTTCCAGCGAATACGGAGGAAGCTTTGCGACGAGTTCGACGCCTCGATTCGAACAACGAATTCGCCTATATCGAAGATTCTGCCACCATCAAGTATCTTACCATGACAAATTGTGATCTGGTTCAAGTGGGAGAAGATTTCTCCAGAAAGCCTTACGCGATAGCGGTTCAACAGGGATCGCCTCTGAAGGATCAATTTAACAACGCGTACGTTTGCAACAAGTCTTATAGAATTCAAAGTAGCATGCAACAAATAATCCATAACAATTCATCGATAAATATCCTCTCTCTTCCGACACAGAATTCTGATACTACTGAACCAACGAAAATTGGAGAAGTTGAAGGACAAATGGTGGAAAAAGAATCCTGATAGAAAGAACTGCGACGCGGAGAACAGTCAAAGCGACGGTATAAGTATTCACAACATAGGCGGTGTATTCGTAGTGATATTCCTCGGTATTATTTTCGCTTGTCTAACTTTGGCCTTCGAGTACTGGTATTATCGACATCGTACGAATATCACGAAGATCAATCGGAACAGCCCAGTCAAAGGTAATCTACCGAAAATAAAACCGCTCAGATTCAATTTACAGCCAGCTCCCACTCATGGTTTACAAGGTACAAATATCAGATCGAGATTTTGAAGTTATTTCTTGTAAAAAAAGAGAAGAAAATACACGCGTTTTTCAAGAATATCTTTTATTCCTGGTTGAGTCAGTATGTTACTCTTTAGAGTTCAATTAAAGAAAAAAATAGAAGGGAAAGGGTCAGTTTTTTTGAAGATGAAAAATTTATTAAAAAAAGAGGAGGATATGACTGACCTGGAATTGTAAATGATATGCACCTTCATCAGCGTTTGCAATGCCTTTATTTGGTTACTCCCTTTGCGTACATTATTTCGCGCAGAGAATATGTGTTTAGATTTCTTTTTCATTTTCTTTAGTTTCACTTTTCTCTTCGCGTTACATTTCATGTACAACACCATAAACGACCGTTTGTGTTAACATTAACACTTTTTCTTTTTCTTATCGCGTTTATATCCGCTCTCTTTCGTTTAAAAGGCATTCATTTTCCTAATAACGTTCCTCTCGCGTACTTTTTATCGGACGTATGCATACATTTCTTTTTTTTCTTCTTAATCTTCTTCTTCTTCGAGTTACGCGTTCCTTTTCATTTTCTTCAGTACGATCTTTTTCGTCGATCCAATATTTCCTTTTAGGGAGTACAGGAAAAGCATTGGATACTCTGGATTCCTTTAAAACATGGGATTCGGCGGAAGATGGATAGGGACAAAGGGATATTAATCTTCTAAGGAGTTAAATTATAGTTAGAGGGGTAATAATTAAGATAATTCATTAATAATTACGAAAAAAAAAACAACAAGAGAATAGAATAGTACTTTGATGGTTCTTGGTTTAATGTCGTGCGGCACTTTTTATCTTTTTTTTTCCTTTTCTCTCCTTTTTTATTTATACTTATAAGTACTCCGTCCTCGAATTTGACTCTCCCAATTTGTTCAGTATCATTTTTTCTTTTTTTGGCATTTTCTTGGTTACATTTATTTCCTTTTTTTCTTTCTTTCTTTCTTGTTCTGCGATGCATCCATTTGCAAACACACACAATGGAACGCCTGCACATCGGATAAGAAACAAAAAAAAAGAAACCTGCTCGCTACATTTTCTAAAAAAAAATCAGCGCACTAATTTTTTTTCGTTTCTTTCTCTTCGAAAAAGTTTACATAAAATTATCAACAAGCTACAAACGAAATCTCATGGACTACGTTTTCAATATTTTTTTTCTTTCTCACTCTCTCTCGCGTTCGCTCTCTCTCTCTCTCTCTCTTTCTCTCCCTCTCTCGCTTTCATCAAACGCTGCGTAACATACATTTTTTCCTCTAGTTTGCTCCGTTTCTTTTTTTCTTTTATTTGTCAAAGGGTTAATAATAATTATCTAAATGAACGTTTAATATTCCTTTCATCTCGGTTCGCTCGCTTTCTGACCGTTGTGTTTTTTTTCCACTCTTCACTCGGCGACAACGGGGGATACTTATATTTTTCATTTATTTTTTTTTCTTTTTATATGTGTATATATAACGGCACCATCTTGGATACATGCATAACAAATTCCACATGCCAAGAGGCCCCCCTGTCATACCTTTTCTTTAACGGTTTGCGTCTTCGTCTTGGAAAAAAAAGTATAGCTAAACCTTAAACTCTCCAGTCATATAGTATTTTAGCAGCTCGTATTTTATCCAGTTCATAAGGTCAACGGACGCAAAGTCGTCAGAGGCTGGCATCCGAAGCTGCTACTGTGCCTTCTATCGAAACAAAATACATTAAATATATAACATTTTTCGTACAACTGCGAAAGATGCAACTAAGTACATAGACCACATATAGTTCTATGCTAAGTGTCAGAAACCGATCAAATAAATGATCATATCGTAACGAATCTTTTTAAGACATATATATATTCGCTGTATTACTAGTTTTCAAGATATACTTTAATTTCGTAGCGTATTACATAACACGATTAGGTGTATGTATATATAATGTGTATACATAGGTGTGTATATAGACGCGTATACATAATCATCGATTTTGGATTACAGAATCACAAACATAACAGAAAAAAAAGGAAATGTTCCTTGTATGATTTAACGAGTAACATAAATTTTCGTTTAGATTTTATTTAGCCAATATGATCTTTGGTCTAGCTACACATTCGTACCTCTGAACATATCAGAAAGGTTTTTACGTTCAAACGCAATTTAAGGTTCACCATTACGGGTGCGAGGATAGTCAAATGTGGCGGGTATCCCAGCGTCGAGTCAAGTTCGGAAAAGTTCAGGTTAAATCGGGAAGACACCCGAAACGCACTTTTCTATCCGCGAACACTCAGACTCCAAAAAACTTATTAACATAAAAATTTGGAAATTTAAAAATATTGAATAACAGATACCCATAAATCGCAAGGTCTGAAGCATTCGTAGATAAATACTTTCGAGCTCCCGGCCGATCCTGACCGAATTCTTCCAAACCCGAGTCCGTAATTTCGAATGCTGTACACCTCTAATTCACCGTGCATTAGAATAGTAAATAAAACACAGCAGGAATTTATTCTTACATGGCCAAAGAAAAGAACGCAGAACGTGTACAAAGCAAAAAAAAAAACAAAGCCATCGACACGTGGTATGGATTCTTTTAGAGACATTTTATTACCTTTTCCTATCATTGTGCAGAGGTACATTAGATCGTACCCAGCCCAGTTGACCCAATGTATAGCAATCTTTCTCGATTTTTTCCTCTTCGCGAATAACAGTATCTTCCACTCCGACTGGAGTATAATGAATATGATCCTGTTCGGAGAGAATTCTGCGTTTGACCGGAGATCGAATGGGCTCGGTTTGAACGCACTTGTCACATTGACGCACCCTGAATTTCAACGTTAAATTCGAAGATACTGGAGGAAGCGGCGAGTCATTCTCTCGATACTCCATATAAGGACTTTCTCCACCAGGAAGATATAACAAGTTTCCTGACTCAGATCTGCGATATGCGACCCGCTCTAAAGTATTGTTCACAGGAAACGTAGTCCCATCGGCCCACTGTCCGTCATCCTTTATTGGACGAAAGTGTGTGCGAGCGGAAGTAAGCAAATCCTCGTCCGGTTCTGGAAGGCTGTTTACCTTCAGGTTTGAACGAGATTCTTTGCGTGTTCCAATGGGAGTCTTACGTGGTGCTACTGGAAAGAAGCAGCTACCTGTCTGAGGACTGTGGCCCAAGGCAGCTAAATTACTGCCAAGCCCTTTCCAACACCATGATCCATCCATAGCTGAGTCAGACCAGTTAACATTGCTTTCTGAAATAGTATATTTAAAAGTTAATGCGATCAATTTTTCATACGTACGCGAAACAGAAATGAGAATAAAAGTTAGACACGACACAGATGTAGCAGTATTTTACATCTAACTTAACATGCGGTTATTTTACTTACATGTTAGAATAATCTCCTATCCGTTAGTATACTTAAGTCAACATTACTATATCATGATGATCATAAGACACATACGTGATCGAACTACTGACCTGATTTATTTTTGTTACTACATTCATCCGCATAATCTTCAATGCTGATTAAATCAATATCCCATGGAATGAGCGGTGAGTCGTCAACAATAGATTCCTGGTACGGAGTGTCAGAAGCATAACCATTGTCTGAGGTGGATAAAGTAAAGATTGTCTCGGTAGTGTCTGTCGGCCAAAGGGGTCCTGAAGGAATAGAAAGAGTAGGTGCTGCCCAAATAGAAGCCGTGTCCTGTGCATTGCCTGGTCCTGAATCCCAAAGTGCTTCTAAGCTCTCATCAAACTTCGCTTGCAATTGTGCCAATCTTAGTTTATCCAATTCTAATTCCCGCTCTTTTTCCCGTTCGCGTTCCATCGACTTAGCAAACCCAAAGTTCCCTTTATCTTCTGATCTTCGTGAGTCAATAGTCTGCAAAGCAGAACAAATCATGAAAGATCACGCTTATAATATATAAGTAATTCATAAACCCATTCTATCTAATACTTACAATAGACATTTTAGTTTTCTTATTGCGAGATTTATTGTTATTTTTATTATTATTGTAGTTGACCCCGTTGAGTTTGTTGTTATTATTATTGATGTTATTGTTGTTGTTGTTGTTGTTATTATTATTTCCACAGCTTCTATCCTTTCTCTGGGGAAACTTCTTAAGGGTTGCGGGTTGTAGAGCAGGAAATGCGGCGTAGTATCTGAGAGCTCTGTCACGAGGTGTAAGCGATTCTAAATTGGCTTTATTTTCGTCATCTGTATTCTTCGATTCTTCTTTCGTTTCATCTGAACCACCTCCTTCCAAATCTCGTAGTTTCATGCACAATTCATCGACCAGCGTTTCCACCCCACATTTCTAAACATGACAAAATATGATATACATTATTAACATTTTATATAAATATATAGTGCTATATAGCTAGAATCGTGACTATTAATATCACTTACATTATCAGCAGCACTTGTCAGACATTGCACAACAGCACGCCTTTGTTCTCTGTCTCCTTGCGTTGGCAGCTTTGCTTTAGGTCGGGCCCGTATTCGACGTCCTCCGTTTCTACCTGTACCTATTGCTTCTTCTGGAGGGCTTAGGGCCGAGTCGGGGCGGCGTAGTAGGCTAAGTACAAATCGCGAGTACGCAACGGGGTCAATTCCCAATGCGTCCAAGCGCGTCTCTAGCCACTGACGCAACTCCTCCTCGGCCCTTGTACCAAACACTTCGCCTCCTCCAGGGGACGTCGCTATCCCGACCAGGTGCAACGCCGGATTCCTCATTTCTTTTTAATTAAGTTCCTCCTAGACCCAGGAACTTTCACAGATTCCACTACCTCCAGGGTGATCATCTTCTCTCCTTGAAAAATAAACAAATTAAAACCCTTCGCACAAATTTTATTGAAACAGTGTTTGATGAAAAAGCGAATGATAAATCAAATTACCTATTTACAATAGAGTTACGGTATTATATTATTGTCCTTTAATGTTTCAATTTTACTGAATCCACCACCTCGACATTTACTAGTTCGATAAGTGTTTTTTCTTTGTCTTTGTTACTTGTAATTTCTCACTTTTAGTTTCGTTGCCCACAATCAGTGACAGTGACTTCTTGTGATTTCAGTTACGTTGATTAAAAATTATTTAGTTCTTGTGCACAGGTGGTGGATATCTTGTGGAAATGAGGCTGGCAGGTCTTAGTGAAGGATAACAAATATAGTCTCCTTCCCATTTTGACACTGAAATTTTATGATTTCCAAATTATTCTTATAAACATCGTAGATGTGAAAACATATCTTATAGAAATAAATAAATTCGTACAAATTTTTTCATTTATTATTTTTATTTATTTATATATTTAAAGGTATAATGAAATGAATTTTACATTATATGTTAAGGGTGTTACAACTTAAATGTATTAAACACGTTTTAATTAATACAATAGTTATAACATTTCATACTGGTTATAAAAAAACCTAATTTCGTATGATCTGCTTTCAAATAACAATTAGTATCGATATATTAATACCTTAATCCATTAAATGGAAACCATGCAAAAAAAATATTTATTGAATTAGGCCAATATGTAGTACTCTTTTCATGATCAACTTGAATTAGTCCGCTTATTTTTTCCACAAAAATGATATCATATTATAAAGAAGATAAAGACACATTAATTATAAATATTTTAACACAATATTTAGAAATCAAACTGGTGATGTATCTCAGTTCTAAATAAAATAATAAACTGTATCAAAAACTTTATTTCCTATTTAATAAATGTGGCATAATATAGAATATCATGATCGTGCTAAAACGTTTTAAAAATCCGACTTCTTAAATCTAAGTGAAAGTGGTGTGTTTACTTTTCAGACAAAAGAAAATAATGCAAGTTCGTATGAAATTTTATTTGCTTTATTCGAACGCAAAACGTGCTAAACATTCTGTGATCTACGTTTTTGAATGTTTTGTTTCTTCCGCGCGTATACAAGTTTCAAACACTCGCAATGATTTTTGCGCAAAATGCAATTAGAAACATAAGACGTAGTTAGATACGTATATTCGTGTTAGAGGCTATTAAGTCACGTTGCACGAACCGTGGATCCAAAATACATGTTCCACGTCGTGGCTAGAGGACGGGTTACCAATCGTACGTTTTGCAAATAAAAACAAGCCACAAGATCAATTGGAACCAATCAACACCGTTATCGACGCTGTCAAAAAATGCTTATCACAAGATTACGCGGTACGAAGAAGTGAACAAGTAATGAAATATGAATTTTCGGGTTTTGGACGCATTATCAACCAGCCTCGTCCACTTGATAGATGTCTCTCGAACTGGTGCACAAAAACAAACTGCAAATTCGAACGAATAACGCTGCAGCACAGCTGTCTGTACGAATTGTTGGCAAAGACATTGGTCGGGCAATGCGAATAACCTTGTCGATTGCGCTATGCGTTTCGCCTGACTCATAGTTCTCTCGTTGAAAAACGGACAACTATATGACGTTACGAAACGAAAACAAACCTGTCTTCGTACGTGACGTACTGTCAACTTATATTAAGCATGGTGGTCACTTTGATCATGATCAACGAAAATGTTCAAACTTTTGACGTACCTGCATGCCTCGAGAGATGATTTTCACCCCGGCCTCTTCTACACACCCCACTCAGAGAAAAACATGGCGGCTACTAAAAGCTTCAGTGCACATCCCCCACCCTAATGCTGGCATTCGGTCAGTTCTTGCACAAGATTTTCAGTGTGTTCAAGAATGAATCTCTAGCTATCTTTGCGTTCTTCAACTCTTCAAATGAAGAGTTTTATTTTCATGACTAAATAAATTAAGCCTAACGCAGTTAAAATTAATTGGAACAATTACAAAGAAACTTCTCTTTTACAGATAGTATATCATATAGTTATGAAAATATAACACAACTGTTAAATAATTTATTATAAACTGCGGCGCAAATATAATGTTAACATGTTTCTATATCGCGAATTGCAATGAGAACACTGCCTGCATGTTCTTTAATAAAAGTCAACGTATACTAAATAAACGAAAATTGGTTTTCTAATAAAATTGTAGTGTATATTTGATCGTAAATATATTTTGAAACGTATACCTGCGAAATTAAATACATACAAGTAAATGTTAATTAACATTAATAACGTGGGTACCGCTTTAACAACCATCTGATCTTTGATCTCTCATCGCTATGTTCAAGTTAGAAAATGTATAATGGTATGGTAATTTCTCACATTGCAGAGATATACGAGTTTAAGAAAGTACGAAAACTACGAAAACAATATTTTAACATAAGATGAATTCGTTAATTCATACGAAAGCAATGGTGTCTGGTCACAGATCAGCGATACGCCGTACGTACAATTAATTTTATTCAATGAATTTAATCAGAATCATGAGCTAATTTTTTCCGGCGCACCGATTATACATATTGTACAGATTATATTTATATAACCAGTAAATTGGTAGATAGGTCTATTAATATCTATGATAAATTAACATAAATTTGTTACTTTGCAGTATTATTTTTGTTTTCATTTTGCAATTTATATAAATATTTTTAGCAGTAGGTTATGTTGTAATTTATGATTATAATACGTGTCCCATTATATTATTAATTATTTCATTATGGTATGACTGTAACTGTTACTTATAATGCTTTAAGTAATAACAGTACTTTGTCGTATAATTATTGAAAATGATACATTATATATTTTTTATAGAATATTGCTGTTTCAAATTATGGTATAATGCCAATCAAGTAAATGGTAGTTTGGCACTTATTTATATGGGTAAAAGAGATCCAAGAAATAGTAGAGTGTTAATGCATTCAGCATTAGTGGAAAATTATAATAATTATAACAACAATTTGCCGTATGTACAACTCCGTACATTTTATGTAACACCAACATGGAAAGGTCAAGAGTCATCTTCTAAGGTTGAGGAAACAATAAAAAATATCAAAGAACAAAAAGAGATTAAAGCAAAGTCAGAAGAATCTGTCGTTAAAGCTGCTCCAAAGGCAGTAGTAGAAAAGTCTACAGTGTGGCAAAAAGTAAAAGGTGAAATTTTACATTATTATCATGGATTTCGATTGTTGGGACTTGATATGAAAATATCATCAAAACTACTTTGGAGAATTTTGAAGGGTAATGAACTTAGTAGAAGGGAACATAGACTTGTGAGTTATAATGAAACTATATTATTTTATAATTGTGATTAACTTAAGATTTTCAACAATTTTTTTAATTCTAGCTCATAAAAACAACAGGAGATGTGTTCAGACTTATTCCATTCTCAGTTTTTATTATTGTACCCTTCATGGAATTCTTACTTCCATTCGCCATTAAATTCTTCCCTGGAATGATGCCATCTACCTTCCAAACAGCAACAGAAAAGGAAGCTAAATTGAAACAGGCATTAAAAGTATAAATTCATCTTTCTTCTTTATTATTAATATACCAAAGCTGAAAGATATTACATTCAAAATTTGTATTTCAGATTAAAATTGAAATGGCAAAATTTCTGCAAAAAACATTGGATGATATGGCTGTACAATCATCTGACTATAAATCAAAAAGAGCTAAAGAATTTGCAGAATTCTTTTATAAAGTTCGTACTTCTGGTACTGTAGCCAGTAACGAAGAAATTATGCAATTTAGTAAACTTTTTGAAGATGAAATTACTTTAGACTCTCTCACTCGACCACAATTAGTTGCATTATGTAGGGTATTAGATGTACAAACGCTTGGAACGACGAATTTTTTGAGATTTTTACTTAGAATGCGGCTAAGGAGTCTTACAGCGGACGACAAAGTAACTTTCTTTTTATGCATATAATGAAATTATTAGGAGATGATGTTAAATAATTATATAATAACATAATTTCTATGTATATTTATAGTTAATTGAGAAAGAAGGTATAGATAGTCTTACTAGAAGTGAGCTGCAACAGGCATGTAGAGCGCGTGGAATGCGAGCGTATGGTCTACCGGACAGTAAATTAAAAGAACAATTATCTCAATGGTTAGACTTAAGTTTAAACAAAAAAGTTCCACCATCGTTGTTACTTCTTTCTCGAGCGTTGATGGTGCCAGAAACGATACCAATGTCAGACAAATTGAAGGCTACCATATCGGCCCTTCCTGACACGGTCGTGGCACGCACTCAGTGTGCAATAGGAGAAAAAGAGGGCACAATGGATCACAAAACTAACATTGAAATTATCAAAATGGAAGAACGTAAAATTGAAGAGGAGCGGCAAGAGAAGGAACCTCAACATGTTGTTCATGAACAGAAAACCGATGAAATTACGAATACGGATGTAAAAGTATTAGAAAGAGCTTTAGATTCTCTTGGAGAGGTTTGTAAAAATACTATTTTAACATAAAATTAGATTAGTAGTCGTTTGTTTATTTTGAAGGTAAATTTTGTATCTGATTTTATCAAGGATAAAAAGATGTCAGTAGAAAAAGAAGAATTAAAGGAACTGAAAGAAGAAATGGCTGATTATCAAGAAGATCTCAAAGAGTTCTACGAAATTAAAGCTGCTGCCAAAGGTCAAAAGGACATAGAAAGTATTAAAGTATCAAAGGGTGCTATACGATTATTCAAACAAGTGAATAAGATGATTCATAAAATGGACGAAGTTCTAACAGGACTTGAATCAAAGAAACAAATCAAACAGTCCGAAAAGAAAGAAAAGATCGATGTAGAAGAAGGCACAGGTGCAAAAACTATGGAAGAATTAGTTAAAATAGACGAATTAATTACAGCTATTAAAAAAATGCAGAATGTACCTGATGAACATCGATTGCAACGCATAACTGAAATTTTATCAAAGATCGATGACGATAGAGATGGAGCTATCAAAATCGAAGACGTCCTTAAGGTAATATTATTTAATAAATAGAAAGGTAAATAAAATGTACCATAATTTTACGTTAATGCTGTAGGTACTAGAACTAATCGGAAAAGAAGATATTAAGTTAAGTAAAAAGCAAGTAGACGAATTACTTGAATTAATCGATAAAGAAGAAATTTTGGAAACAGACGAACAAATACAGAAAAACTTGCAAAAGGAAACAAGTGAACAACTTAAAGATGGATCGTGTACTGCAACAAAATATGTTGCGCCTAAAACTCCGGTTCCTGCTACACCTGTAACAACTGAAAAAGGTTTTGGTAAAGAGGAATTAAACGAAGATGTTCCAGATGCTAATAAAGGTTTTGCCGTGCGCTCGTCCGAATCAGAAAAGGAAAAGGCAGCCGCAGTTCTTAAAAGTAATCCCAGTTCTGACTCAGTTAGAAATCCTCCTATAGCTCCTGGAGTACCGCCACCGGCAAAAAAAGCGGAAGGCTCTAAACAGCTGTGATCACCGCACAATGTATGTACATTATTAATACAATGTTTTCGTTGGGTATTCGTTTGAAGAGATATTGCACTTTTATCTCCACATTATGTTTCTACCTCTAACCTATGACATTGTATATCTTTATTTTATGAATGAAGTTGTATAGTAAATGTAATATTTACGGAACAAAACAATTGCAATGATGTCAGGTATGTATTAAGGCATTTTTTAATTGCTGTTATATACATGAGTTTTACTATTTATAATATTTGGTTGAAAGCGAAAACAAATCATTCATGTTTGCCTCTATAATTAAAGCAGATCCTGAATGTTAAAGACTGTGATGCATTTAATGGCATCAATATATGTATTCTTTGGATCATTAATTGCAATTGTGCTGGCCACAAAAAGACGACATTTTTCATGTAAATTTCTAATTAATATAGAAAATGTTTTCCTTCTTTTTTAAATTATACGTGACAATACTATTATGATTAACAGCTAAAGGTCATAAGAATATTCGCTTTATATTTCAATAAAACTGAATTCCAAAAATATTATAATACCTTAAGGAATCATTCCATCTGTCTGAGTATTCATTGCTATTACAGAATTCTAATGTACAAATTATTGATCACCCTTATTTTGCGTTATAATATTAAATATGTACTTCTATGATTGAGATTGAAAAAAAGAATGTATATTTATAAATAAAGTAATTTTATTATTATTAAACTACATAAACATGGGGTTAACTATTACATGTATTGATTACATAAAAATGCTATTATGTAACAAAGTATGAAAAACTTTAGCGATAAACACGTCACATAAAAAAAACGTAATATCCATTGGACGTTTATTACGGCTGAAAGTAAATAACACATTATATTTATTTGTAATAAGTTTGTAATGCGAAAATTCAATTATTGATAGCATTGTTAAAATACCGATTAAACAAGATTAATCGGAATACCTGTTTTTAGTAGTGTAAAAACATTGCACAAAATTACAATATGATTAATATATTATTTTAGAAGAAAAAACACGAATGTTAATGATGCCCAGGGTAACAATTAAATTTTTACTTTTGTGCATCAAACTGCTATTTATGTAATAAAATGACTGTATAAAAGTTAAGAACATTTTCTTCTAATTTAAATGTACAATTATTTCTATTAAAAGTATTTATATGAATTTTTAATATATTTTTATTTTAATTTCGATTTTGCATTTAGTTTCATCAATTTTTTAAGTATATTTAGATCCGGATTTTCAATTCTAGTAGTTAATTATGGCTGATTAATAATAAATGGATAAAAAGATTTATTAATTTTAAAATAATAATAGTGGTCTTTACCATGGTACAGTGTGATCGTAAAACTTTTTTTGAAGTCAAAACACGAATCCGAGTTCGGAAGTAGTGACGTGAATGCGTCCTCAATGGCGTGCATTCATTAGTAAGTACGTATGGGTAGCTAATTTTTTAAAGTCACAAATTATTATTAATTTGGATATCACGCGTACTATATTTCTCCATCTCTGGTTTAGAAAAGATAAAAATCGCCATGTAACAAAAAATTTCGTAGAGGGCCAATGTGCACTTACAACGTATTGAAATGAAACCCTAGGACAAAACGCAGCACGTAGCTCTGAAAGTTTCAATTTTACTAAATAAAGATTCAATTTATGACCTCGCTATATCATGGTGAAAACTATACGTATAGAATTTTAATCCATAGCACATGTAAGGATATAACAGTGTCGAGTAACTTTACACTGTCGGCATTCGTGTAATAAGTAGGTATTTCGTATTATCTTATTCAGAATGACCGCACTAAGTGGTTTCATGGAGTTTTTTCAAAAAGGGAAGGTAAATATTATGTTTTATTCCTATTAAATTCGTTTGTACTATAATAAAACATCTAACCTCATATGAAACATTATTTACTAATTTTAACATTAAATACAACATGCTTCATGTGATTTTCGAAATTCTTCATCTATCTTAAATTATATATTCGTTTTATAAAGCAATGATGTAAAACTATACCTCACATTGCTTTAATGTCTCTTCCTATTACAGACATTCAGACCAAAAAAGAGATTTGCTCATGGGACATTACGATATTCTTTACATAAACAAGCACAGGCTTCATTAAATTCTGGAATTAATTTAAGATCTGTTGTAAAATTACCTCCTGGGGAAGACCTGAATGATTGGATTGCTGTGCATGGTACTTAAAATTTCTGTTAATAATTTGCATCTTATGTTTTAACAAAATTTATCTAAGAAATGTAATTGTTTTATGTATATTTAATATAATTCCAGTTGTAGATTTTTTTAATAGAATAAATCTGATATATGGTACTGTTTCTGAATATTGTGATTCTGCATCTTGTCCCACTATGAGTGGTGGAGCACGATTTGAATATTTGTGGGCAGATGGTGAAAAATATAAAAAACCTACTGCATTACCAGCACCACAGTATGTTAGTCTTCTTATGGATTGGATCGAAGCACAAATTAATAATGAAACTATATTTCCTGTCTCAACAGGTATGTAATTATGAGAACCTGCATAGTAGTGTATTTAATAAATCATTCATTTTGAAATTTTATTATAGATGTACCATTTCCGAAAACATTTATACCACTGTGTAGAAAAATTTTAACACGGTTGTTTAGAGTATTTGTCCATGTTTATATACATCATTTTGATCGTATTGTTGCAATAGGAGCAGTAAGTTTTATATTTGTATTTGATAAAATAATATCTGACTTCTTTTGTATCATAATTAGAAATATTTTTATCTTTTAGGAAGCACATGTAAATACATGCTACAAACACTTTTACTATTTTGTAACAGAATTTGAATTAGTAAATACAAAAGAATTAGAACCATTGGCTGAAATGACTGCTAAGGTTTGTAAGGACACTGCATCACCAACACAAACCACAGCACCATCAAACAATGCTAGATAGTGGAAAAACTTGTTAAATGCATAACTATGAAGTCCAAATTAGAAAAAGCAAATCTTTTTTAATGTAAGTACAGAACACAAGATATACATTTTTTTATTACATTATGGAAAAATATTGAAAAATTGTTTGTTACTAGGATGCTATAAACTATTATTATTTCCATTAATATTTAAAAATTGAGTATCAGTTGCATTGAAAACTTCATTACATATAGTGCTTCTGTCTTTCCATTATTGTACTAACTGTAAGAGTAATTTTCCCATTTGGGGATAAGTTATTAATGTAAGTATATCTCTTTCTAGTTAATCGTATTATACGGGAAATAAATTGTGCATTTATTTTTATGCACATCAAACACCAAATTTGAGTATTAATGTATTAAGGTTTTTTAAATATTGTACATCTTTTATAGTATCCACATTTTTGTGGATGTATAGTCAAAACCAACCAATAATTACGTTTTTATATGTAGATATGTTGAAATTATTCTTATTTAAAATTACGTATTAATAGTTAAATTTAATATTGTATATTAACTATCTTTAAAAATTTAGACATTATTTATGGAATCATTTCATAGACATACATAATTGTATAAATCATTTTTTACCATTCAAATGCTTATGTACTGTTCTTGTAAGTTGTATTAAAAATTAAACAAAATTTGTATGAAATTTAATGACACTGCAACAACGATACAAATAGCACACCACTATTCTAATAGTACAAATTTCCGAAATAATAAACCCGTTATAGAAGATTATAATTTATAACTAAATAAATAATTTAAAGTAAGTGATTATCACAGACATTAGTTTAAATTGTTCTATTTCTTAAATAAATTTAATTTCGTGATATAATTATAAGCCAAAGAATAAATTTTTTTAAATTAAATTTATTGTTTTACTGAAGCCAGATACATGATCATGAATTATCCATTGATTAAGATTAAGATGAGACTACAAAATATTATTAAAAAATGCACAAAAATTTGTTTTAGATACTATGGCTTTAATATATGTGGATAATAATTTTAACTACGATAAACATTTACGAGTAGTGCGAGCTTTCTGTAGTCTTATTTTAATCCAAATTATTTACTAGGAATAATGCTGCTGGCGACTCACTCTAACTTCACCTTAAGAAATGTATTTATAGTCGTAATCTGTACATGCCGGAACGAATTACGTTATAGTCTGGTAGATTTTCAACTGGACCAACTGCTGCAACAACTGGACATCTATCGTAAATATATTTCATGCCAACATCGTGAATATTTGAAGCAGTAATGCTCTGTAAAGAATTTTATTTACGCGTTAAGTATATTTTATAAATTTGACATTTCATTTTTGAAAATTACTTACATCTATCCTAGCCTCCAGTTCATGAAGCGGTATACGTCGATTGTAACAAAGTATCTGTCGGCCAATATCTTCACAGATCGCAGTAGTTCCATCCAATTGTAGTAACATATTCGTTTTGAGGGTATTTTTTGCGCGTTCTACTTCTTTCTCTGTTACTGATACACATAATTTCATCCATTCGCATTGTATATTATATACAAAATCGTCTATCGTTAAAGGATCACAGACAAAGTAAATACCCCAAAGACCAGTGTCCTACATAGAAAAAATGATTATGATGTTTTGGATAAAATACATCTATAAAATAATATATACCTTGTAGCAAGTATTAAAACTTTGGAAACTGTGGCATAAACCAGCTTCTGAAGCTTGAGCTAGATAGCTTGCATTATTTGCACCACCTCCTTGGCTGCGATCCCATGCTCCCATAATAGTATTTGCAACCATAAGGGGAATGTTATCGGCATCAGCCCAACCAGCACCTTCAACAGCAATGGCAACATGTGCAAGAGGAATATTATCATCACGAACTCTTATTTCAGAGCCTGTGTAACGACATGGTACTAATGGAAGTGGAATTTCATCATACATAGGTCCTTTCATTTGACCAAAATGTTTTTGAGCCAAATCTACTAAAGTACTATGATTTACACCACCTGCACCAGCTAGAACAAATCTAAAGAATTCAACTTTTAAATGCATAAGTACAAATAAAACAGTTTGTAGAACACTGCAAGTAGTAATTGCATACCTAGGTGGACCATAGTGTGTCTTAACATAGTTAAGAAGATCATTTCGCGTGATGCTTTTAATATTTTTAGTTGGTCCAAGAATCGTTCTCCCTAAAGGTGTGCCTTGATATGCACTAGCATGTAAATGATCAAAAACAACTTCTTGCAAATTTGTTTCAACCTCTTGCATTTCTCTTAAGATGACACCACGTTCTCTTTCAATTTCACTATCACCAAGTTTGGAATTTTGAATGATGTCACTTAAAATTTCAACAGCTTTTGGAACATCTTCTGTCAAACATTTGGCATAAAATACTGTCTGTTCTCTGCTTGTGTAAGCATTCAAATGAGCTCCCATATTTTCAATTTCTAATTCTAGGTCAGTTTGTGACCGCTTTGTAGTTCCCTAGCAATAATTTTACTTTTTAAATAGAACTTTGTATATGTTAATCAAATGTAAATTTGTTAAGGTTATTAATTACTTTGAAAGCCATATGTTCCATGAAATGGGCAACTCCATTATTCTCGTCTGTTTCAAACCGACTGCCAGAATCAATCCATAATCCAACAGTAGCTGTTGGAGCTCCACTATCTTCGCTGGCAACTTTCATACCGCAATCCAGAGTTGTAACTCTGGTGGGTGGTTGATTGATGAGTGTCTCCTTCAAGGATGTTGCTGTAGATCGCCATTGTTTCTGTACCTAATAAAATATTTGTCAAACGTGATATAAAGTAAAGGATATTCTACCTGTCAAACCTTTAAATTTACTAGTAACATTAGTACTTCACAAACATTTCTACATATTAAGGTTATGCCAACCTGACACAAATATTTCAATACACATTACATAATTTAATTTATTGAACTCTATTTATTGTAGATTACTAATAGTCCATCATTATTATTTTCTTTTTACAAAGTTTTAAACAATTTAATCGTATTACGTAAGGAGAAGATGAATTTTTTGGTCCCGATAAAATCATCTTGATTTGTTCATAAAATTAAGAAATAGCTTTTATCTGTTTTGACAATAACATATAAAATATAAAATTTCTGTTTCATTACCTTTACAAGACTGGTTTTATTAGAATAAGTCCGCAATGCGGAACTAACTTTAAGCAGACGAGTCGCCATTTCTTCGTATTCGCAACTAGACCAGCTTATAACGAGAGCGATCCGAAGTAATGCTCAGGGGTGCTCTGGACACAGTTTTAACTGATCGATATATATATCAATAACATTAATTAAATAAAAGATGATGAAAACTGTATTTGAAACTTTTATTGTAGCGAAATAAAGGTTTACGTAGCATAGATATAATAAAAAAGAATACTTTTCGAAGGCTACGATATAAGGATGATCATTGTTGGTTACATTTTATAAAGTACTTTGGATTTTTTTGTTTCTTCGATACAAATTTCAATCGTTATGATTATACATGTATTTTTATTAACCAATATTCTGTACTAATGTTTATTTTTTGATTTGATGATGAATTTTATGTGATCATGTTAGGGATTCCATAGCGTATAGAAAAATTCTGTACTGTTCTGTTGGTGCTTACTGTAAAATTCGAAAACCGGCATGACGGCATGAGTGTCAAGCACTGTGCGTTTGTAAATACTCGTTTTTTAAACAAAATAAGTGTTTTCATTAAAATATTACAGTTTTCATTCATAACATAAAAATGGATACGCTAAATGATACCTCAGAAACTTTAGACCGATCTCTTGAAATGTTTAAGCAAGAAACTCCGCAACATAAGTCATTTTTAAGGTTAACTGGAAAAAGTACAACTCCTAAAAGAATATCGTTACAAAATACCAATAACTTGCAAAAAGAATTGGATGATGTCCATCAGCTGAATGACAGTGCCAGAATGTTAGCTAAATCATATCCTAATTCAAGACTAATGAAGATTCATGATCTCATGGATGTTGATAATTCAGTAACGTTTGCTCCTCACGAAATTCGAAATATAATGAACACATCAGAAAGAAGTAAACTCACGTTGAGGGAGATGATGGAAGACAGTAGTGCAACAGGCATAATTTTAAAAACAGTGGAACCATGGCGAGAAATCATGTCTAAATTATATTATGATTTCTTGCATAGTATACAAATGAACTTTTCAGAGACACAAATTTTTGATACAGTGGCAGATTTCATACAAAATTGCTCAGATACCTTAGATATAATGAGAGGTATCAAAATTACTACATATGCAATAATTTTATATATTACTAGTACTTTTTATACCAATTTCAAATTCTTATTATAGGTATGCAATCAAAAGTGGAGACTAGCAAAGTATCAAAAGAAGAGATTTCTTTAGAAAATGAAAGAAATACATGGAGACTTATTTATTGTTTATATCAAAATCGAATAGGTAGCATGAATTATACTACTGCTATGGAAGATGAAACACAAGAAAATAATGTTTACATATCTGAAAAAGTTGTAATAGAAAACTTATTTAAGACTGAAAGTTACATTAGAGAGTATCAATTAATAATTGACTGGTTAGAGAAGAACGCGTTAGATGAAGCAGATAAGCATCCATCTACAGAGCAGTTTACAGATAAAACTTTGGCATGGGAAAATACAGTACGACAATTGCTTTTGTACAAAGACAAAGATCAGATTCTATTACGTTCATCTAGGCCACTGATTACATCCCTTGATCCAGATGCTCCCATAAGAGAAGGTAAACCCATAGATGATCTGGATAGAGAAGATGATGCAAGACTTGAGAAAAGAATGTTTATAGAGGTATACATTTTTTTACCGGAGAAACTTTTGTAGCAAAAACTGAAGTGTAAAATATGTGTATTTAATTTCCTAGGTACGTTGCGGTCGTCTTCAAAAGGCACAAGCATTAGCAGAACACTCTGGACAAATTTGGAGGGCTGCTTGTTTGTTAGGATGGATACCTCATCATGATCCTAATTATCAAAATCCGTTATCTGATACCAAATTACCTATTGAAGGAAATCCTAATAGAAGTCTTTGGAAACTGTGTGCATGGGAATTATCTCAAGACAAACGCGTAGGTAATGGGTTTTTATTGTTTATGTAAATAACTGAAATGTATATATAATTAAAATAGTTTCTCTTAATAATTTCTTTTACGATGTTCAGGTCAATTTTATCGCTCAATTTACGCCAGTCTTTGTGGAAATGTTCAACAACTACTACAAATTGCATCTTCGTGGCAAGATGCGTTATGGGCTTACATGAAAACATTGTTAGATATCAAGGTGGAAAGAGAGGTGAGAGATTTAGTAGCGAAAAGCTTCACGGACATGCCCGAGGAATATTGGAAAAACGAAATGTATTTGGAAGATGTGTTTAAAGAGTTACATGCGTCAAAAAATTCAAACATTCAAGAACAGTCGAACAAGCCTGATCATCTCATTCAGAAATATTTAATATTGGATCAACTACCGCAATTGATGGAGGAGATAGAACGCATGATAGACGCGGAGAATTGCGATCCTCACTTTTTGAGATTCTTAGCTCATTTGGTATTCTTTCTCCGGCAAATTGGTAAAAGCACGAACGATAAAATTGGAGACAAAGTTTTGTCGGCGTATGTTCAGGTTTTAATTGAAATGGACGACCCGATTCTGATCGCTTTTTACACAGCCATGTTGCCGCAGGAATCTCAGATAACGAATTATGCACGTTACTTGGAGAACGTGAAAGACTACGAGCAACGAAAAAAGTGCTTGACCGCGGCAGAAGATGCTAATTTGAACGTGGAAGCAATCACGAAATTAGTGGTAGAAACTATACGTTCGAAAAATATAGATATCGATACCTCAGATTTAAAAGGTGCCATAACGGATGCAGATATTGAAAAGATTAACGCGTTAGATTGGCTGATATTTTATCGAAGTCAGCGGGAAGAAGCACTGTGGCAAACCAATGCTCTCATAAGATATTTCTTGAAAAATGAAAGAACCGATGCTGCACGGAAAGCATTTAATAAGGTATACAATTGCGTGACTAATGTGATCCATATATGATAAGGAATTGTTATTTGTTTTTTAATTGTCTAGATTCCAGCGGATACCATCGAGTCAATTGTGGCCGAATACCCAACAATGGAAGCCACGTTAACAAATCTTACGATGACGGATAATCTGTCAAAAAGGGCGGCCTCGTCAATTCGAGAATATCTATGTTATAAAATATATCTCGATGCCCAAGAAGGTTTTGCTGAATGGTTTTCTCATTATCATCGTGGCAAACCTACTCCCCTAGAAGAATTACCACCATATGCCACGTTCACTGAAAAGGTTGCACACGAACATAAGTTAGCACAATATAATGCGGAAATGGAGAGATGGAAATCTACGATGCAACATCACACAAAGGTTTGTACAATATTTCTTTGATGTAAAGTTTAGTGCGTGGTAATTTTAAAAGATATCTCTTTTATAGGCGGTTAAACAATTGTTATATAACGTGTTACTATTTCCGGATGGTGGTTGGCTGGTCGATGCAATCAATGACGATGATGAATTGTGTACGCCCGAAGAAATATCGCGGGAGAAACAAATGGAGAAGTTGCGGGAACTTTGTATCCCAAAAATTACGCTCCTTTTGCATTCTGTAATGTCCGAAATGAATGAGCATGCAGGATGCATTCAGTTAGCAGATATTCTTGCCTCTGAACAGTATCAACTTTATAAAGTAATTATATTTTCGTTGATCCTATAACGACAATTATGATCAAACGCTTATTGATTTAATTGATTTCAGGTATTTAAAAAGGGAAGACTGCGAGAAGTGTTCAAAAAGATTTGTGAATCATCTTTAGTTTTGATGGATCAAAAGAAAGATCCTTGGGGTTATCCAAAATGAATTCCATTAAAAAATTAGACAATAATTGAAAATACATAAGGCATCCTGTAACATACATAACGCGATTTATTATTCGAAAGTCGAATACCGAAGAAATTTGTACAAAAAGCCTCCGTTGTTTTTTATAAAACCAGTTTATTGTCAACCACAAGAAGTGAATATAAAATTTGATACAATGTTCAATAATTCATAATCATAATATATTATATACCTCATGGTTACTTAGATGCTCCTTTTACCCAATCGTTAATAAATGTAGCGCTGTCAAAGCTGTAGATTTAACGCGTGAAACGTTGCGGAGAAACTCAGGGACAATGAGGGAGTACAATATCCTGAGATATTTTTCATTGAAATAATAATCATCGTAATTCCACGATATAGTTTAGCCACCTCTAATCTCTCGCTTCGTTCGTAACCGTCGGACGTGGATCTGCATACAATGGAGAAATACGTACAAAATTCCTTACTCGTATTTCATTGGAAAGAAAAATGTACGCATCGAACGAACTAAAGAAAGAAATAAAAAAATAAAAGAAACCAAAATGTTTCGCGACGCGTAGTGCATGTTTGGTGTTTCTAAATCTATTTCCATTGGACAATGATGCTTTTGCCGGCGAGAGCAGTCTTTTTATATTTTCTTTTCTCTCTCATTATAGTATTATATTTCGTACTGTGGCTTTCGAGCTTTATTCAGTCGGAATACGCGAATAGCGTTCTTCTTCTCTTTGTGTTTTGATAATGCGTGTATATATTATATTATATATATATGCTTTCCGTTTTCCTCTTTTCTTCGCAAGACAGATTAACGCTATCAACAAAGAAATAAAAAAACGATAAACCTTTCGCTACTGTGTATACCATGGGATAGACTATATATATATTAAGAAAAATGAACAATTTATGGAAATGTTTTTGAACGTTTATACGTTTTAATCGCTTATTCGTGAGGAAATCAAAAGCGAAATATATGAGGCGGTCTGAAAAAATGTACATTGTGAAAACTTAATTTTCCATAGAAAAAGGAATCGAGTTCTTTACCACTTTGCAGTTTAAAACAAATAATTCAAAAGTGTCTGACTTCCGGGGTGCTCTTTTTAACCCTTCTTTTATCGCAAATAATTTTTTAACGTCGACAGTGCTTACTATGTGTGCGTTCGGGTATTTATATGTATTTTGTGTGAATACAAGGTTTAAACACGACATGCCGGAAGTTGTACACCCAGTTCTTTGATCGTTTATATTTTGCAAATGAAACTTCAAATTGAAAAATCGTACAGGTCCTTTTCTTTCGTCAGGAATTAGCTGATGTACATTTTTTAAACACCCAGTATATCACGAAAATATGTACGTATCTTTGTTTTCTTTCTTCTAAGTTTTAGGACTTTTAATTAAATTGCAATTAAAAGGACACGAATCTTAATTACATGGACAGTTATTTAAAATTGATTCCACGTTTAAATAAAGCTTAAAAGAGCCCCAACAAGCTTGAACATCGAACTTGTTTCGTGAAGTTACACCTTTAATTATCGCATTGATCAGCGCTACGAATTGAATTTAATTAAATAATTCGAAGTTGAAGGAAAGAAGGTTCCAAGTACCACGAAGATTGCGTTAATAATTGAAAATGTCAAATTGAAGTTAACAGATTTAATTCCAAATATTCCTCCACAACACTAATGCTGAGTAAAAAGTTATTAAAATATTGTCGAAAAGATACTTAAGCTCTAAAGAAATTTTTCAAAATGTAGGAGATTATTGTAGCACCAGATGTAGAACATAAGTTATTATAAATTGTTCTGTTTAAACCGAGTTTGCCTAACGATAACATATGCAAACCGTAGTTTGTAGCTTCGTGAAACAAGTTTCTTGAACGCATTTCGCGTTGACTGCCATGGCGGTGCCTCAAATACAGAAAGAAAAGATAAGAGGAAAAGAAAGAGTGACACAGTGCAACACCATACACATACACGACTCAAAACGCACTGTACTGTACCTGACATCGAAATTTAAACTCGTATACATCTTTGTATGCAGTTAGTAGACTTACGCTCTGTACAAGCGACTCTTTTTCTTGTCTGCATTCACGATGATAGATTTCAGACACGTGCGAGTATTTTCAACAAGTAGAATGAACGTTTAATTTAACATTTAACAATTAGAGATGCTTGCTTAATCGTTAACATGTTGAATGCCGCGTTTATATAAAAAAATAATTTTATAATGCACGAAAGAAATTCTGAGATTTCGAAGACTGAAAAATTAAACTATGGCTGCCATGAGATTAAAAAAGAGAGTTTGTTAATTGAAAGCATCGCGGCACTCAACGCGTTAATTCATGGTGTTCTACGTATGTAAATTTCATCGATCAGGAAAAACGATCAAATCATCAAGAGGTTGATATGTCCTTTTCTTTTTGAAAAAACGTGTGTTCGCACGTGTCTCGTAAAAAACACGAGGAATTTCTGAGAATCGGAATCGACTTTACAGTAATACGAGTACACGATTAATAGAGTTACCTTGTTGATTAATCTATATAGTCTAACACGTAAAACGTTGAAAAAAACGGTTGACAATTGTTTACCATTCTCGATAATGCTACGTTACATCATTATTTTTTTTATTCGTTTTATGTTTTGCTGTTTCATTTTAACGCGAGAGCTTGATAAGTTCGCCAAAACCTTTCGATTCAACTGTTCCTCCCTTCTTCCGTACGGATAAAGTAGTCGATAAATTTCATCTTGTTTCTTCCCTTTTTTTTTTATCTTTTTGTTTTCGTTTCTTCGTTAATTCACGAACTAAGTTTATCTCTCTACGGGACGTACTAATCGCTAAATGGATTTCGTGTCAGCATGTTCGAGAACGATTTATCTACGGATAGTTGGAAATGATTCTTCGTGGGACTCCATCTCTTTCAACTCTTTGCACTCTTTCAACGTTCACTTATTGAGCTATTCTATTACTTTCAATCGAATTCGAATTCTTGAGACACCATTCAAGAACAATCAAGACCTCCGTCTTTGACGATAAAATATTGTAACATTCGTTCAACGATACTCGTCGTTCAAAAATATATATCTTTGAAAATTTTTAAACACAACTCAGGACGGTCTATCGTAACGAATCAATTCTTGTCATATATGTATATTTATATATAATATGTATATATGTATCGAGAGTCGTTTAAACGGTGATACAAAACGTGATTGATTTTTAAATGAAAATATTGAAAAATTGTTTTAGATATTTTTCAAATATCGATGTAACTAGGATTTTGTTAAATAACACGATATGCCACAAAGAAAATATCTTAATATCAGGTTTGTACCACCAGTTACACGACTCTATATTTTTTGTACGTTCTCCATATCGCAATCGTGAATTATCACTCGCCACTTACGTATTATTCGAACAACATACAAGAAAACCAGCGTGCTCGAAGAGTGCAAAGAGCTGACGAAAGCACCGATTAACCGTTCTCCGGCATTCTACGTCCTGTTCTTAAACTGTGTGAAAATATATTCTACCACGAGGATAAGATTGAAAAAGATATCCAGTTAAAAAGCCTTCCTCTACGATAATCGAAACAAGAGGACAACCTTCTCGGTTACATACATATTGACAGTGTGTTATACATCCGTTTGGTTTAATCGACACCATTAAAATCGCTATTTCGAATGTTGTTCTTCGCTTATCTCTAAGTTGATCACCGCACACATCTCTTCACTTTCATTTTGATACTTTCTTAATCGACTTTCTGAAATACTCCTCGGTTTGGGATAAATCGGACGCACGGGCGCCGATCTCGAGGACGCCCAACTTTCTACCTAATAGATTTACATTTAAATTTAACGAGTCCGCTGTTTGAAAACGAAATAGAAACCTTATGTTACACGGGATACGTTTGGATATGTGACCTCGCGAAAGGAAGAGGAGAGAAGAATGATAAAATTCGTCTACCGACGCTATACAAGGAGAGACTTTTAGACAGCTGGACCGAATTCAACGATAACAAGATAGAATCTTATTCTATCGGATTGGGTTTTCTTCTCTTAACACTTTGACTCTGTTCCATTTATTGGAGAATTTAAAATTAGGAAAGTTGGCTTCTCTAAGGAATGGTAATCAGATAACATTCAAGAACAGATGTTTAAATTTCTATCAAGTAACAGGTCTGCCTCTTAGGTGGAAATAAATTTTATGAAACATACGATCAAAGTGTTAAGATCCTCGAGTTCGTCGACTTCCACGAGACCGTCGCGGTGGTCGGAAGAAAAGTGACACGAGTGAAAAGGCTATCTTGAATCTTAACTACAAGAGAGACACAAAACGACTTGAATATCGCTAACGATTCGGAAAATCACGTTTCGCATTCGACACACGCGTCTCGATCGACGATCGATCTTAACCATTCGCATTCTTCTCTTCTCCTTTAAATTACACGTCGATACAACGAACAAAAGAAAGTGTTCTCTTAGCTTCTAAGCTAGTATTCGCTTCTTAATCGCTAACAACTTGTGGGATATTGACGGGGGGCTGCTCCGCGAACATACGAAACAGCTTATCACTAATGTCCTAATAAGGTTAAACGAGAGACAGAATTAGAGAAGATAGAAACTGGTACGTAGAAAATGTACACGTATATAGTAGATTATACTGAAGAGAAAAAGGAGAGGAGAAAGTTCAGATTTTACATCGCTATCTAAGACTTTCGTTCGTTCTGTACAATCGTTATAGTTAACAACGGTTCAGCGCGATGTACGCTGTCCTTATTCAACTTTGTACATCTTACACTTCGAATAATTGATCCGTACAGATACAGTGATACTTGGTTAATGGTCGCAAATTTTTATATTATCATCTTAGTTATTTTAGTTTATAGAATTTCTTGGAATCTTGAAATTTTGGAACAGCGAGTCTAAGATTTTAGGTCTTTCAAAATTTCTTCAAACCTGTATTAGACCCTGTACCAAACTTGCGACCACCATCCAATCGCCACCGTATTCGTTAAGTTAATTTCCCTACATCGAAGATTGTTGTCCCGCGACAGAGCTTTCGTTATTATTGTCTGACCTATACGATCATCAGTAGTCGATCATCGGTGTTTTGTACTTCAGAAACTCTAAGCACAATTATTGTCCGAATTTCATAAAAATCGGGAGCGATCGTATCCATAGATACGTTCTCCCCAGACAAAATATAGGATCTTTTTATTATCATTATTTATTGTCCGAGTGACTTTGGCGAGCAAGACGATCGACTGGATATTGTCTTAAGTTCGAAGCGGGACTTCGACCCGCGTGAAAATTTGCGTTTCATCGAGTTCACGAAGCAGCCCGCTTAACTTCCGATCCGGCAAGTCCGTATTTTTATTATTGTCGTTCACAGAAACGGATGTTTTACGTCCGCTTACGTACTAGAATCCGCGTTGCTCGCTCGAAGGACTCGCTTAGGAAACAGGACAACAAAAGGGGAACGGAAATGGCGAGGACGATACAACTGCAAGCGAAGAAAGTCGTGTAAGAATCCTTTTTCTGAGGATCATCGTTCAGAGTGTTGCCGGAAAACTTGGGATCCAGACTTCTTATTGTCGTTTAATTAAGTTCGCACTTGTGCTTCAACCCCCAAACGGCTGGCAATCATTCTTATTTCTCGCAGAACTTTTTAATTTTGTACTAAACAAATTTTAGACAGAACACTGTCGTCAGACCGACAATTTAATATGACTCAATAAATAATAAATTGAAAGTAATTTTAAAAAAATAAATATGAAAATTTTTAATGGCGTTCCAGCCATTTAAGGGTTAACATGTTTGATGCATTTCACGTGAAAGCTAAAGCAGCGACATTCGATGACATTCGTCGTTTGTCATCGCGAATGAATTAAACAAAAAATAAACGCAATTACTTCGATTGCTTATCTAGTGATTACTCCGATAACAAACGTCGAATAATCACTGTGCAACGCTGACAGCTAAACGACGTAAATCCTCGAACTTCATTTATACGTATGCATATACTTTATGCGCGTTTTAATTATATGCGTTTATATATATATGTATACATGTTTATGTTAGGTATGTTTGCGTATGTAGTTTAAATACAGACTGGTCTTCGTGTGATAAGTAATTGGAATTGTAAAGAATGTTTCGCAGCTGGCAATTTTGAGGACACTCCGTTACTTAGAATCTGGACACTGTGGAGAGCATCGAATTTGTATCGAGAGAAAGAGATTCCGCTACTTTCACGCCTACGTTTCTAGAATGATTATGTATTTCTCTGATTTCTTGGTTGTTGACTCTCTTTCGTTCCTTGCGTACGTCCTTTATTTTTGATTTTGGATGCAGGATTCATTCCGGCAGAGTCGATAGATCAGTTGCATTGAGAGACACTTTGGAAATCAATATTAATTACTCGCGAAGTTGGAAAACTTAGAAGAACGTGATTCGCGAATGCAATTAATTTCTCGACCCTGCAATTTTCCATGAAGCGAAATTTAGCGACGTACGAGCAAGAAACCAGTTCCTAAGTACCGCAGGGTATCTCCTGTCCGAGTGGTTCCTAATTCGTGTAATTAAAGAAGTTCATTATCTGTACCCAAGGCACATTTTATACTTTCATTCCGTTTTCTTAGGAAGGTCCACTCTATAGTATGTACATATTATAGCATTGTTACACGTATATAGGGGATAGTTTGTAACTTGTATCTCCTTTAAATTACATAATTATATATGTCTGACGTTTACCTTGTACATAATTCTGGTTTCTCAATTATTTTTTTCTTCAGCGATTCCTTCATCGTTCGCTAACCTACGTATTATTGTCAAGTCGACAGCATTTATAAATGTAATACCTTACGTGCTACTCGATTTTTAAAGTTACATCGTATATTCAACTATATAGCTTTGTGCAAAATTTACATTGTACATGTACCACGGATACGCTCTCTCTCGTTCTCTCTCTCTCTTTCTCTCTTCTCGTTCTTTCGCTTCGTCATTCATCAACGCAACACTCTTTCGAATCAGCTCTAACAATCAGCAAATCCTCCCGCATGAACGACATTCGTTTCTTTTTATTTTTGTCTTCATTATTGTCAGAAATTTCCACGTTTACTCCACCACGTCTCGATTTATTATTATTGTCAGAGAATTATTTCCCTCTCCTTTCCCTAAAGTACGTAGTTTCTTAAATTCTTAAACAGTTTAAAAATCACCTCGAATCTCGTACTCCTCGTGTGCCGTGTTAATATGTGTGTATTCATGTATATATATATTTATAATGTATATATATATATACGTGTGTGTGTATATGTATAAATATACATATACATATATATCGTATAATATGAAATATTGAATCTGATAGATCTTAAAAATATTTTGCTAATCTTTTTACGTTACAATTAAACCTTACGAGCTAAGTACTTTCTTACAACCTTGTATCGTGTTCAGCCGATTTTAAACAATCGCCTTTTGTTTTATTTTCTTCTTTTTTTTTATCACCGTCGTTATTTTCCTATGTAGTTTCTTTCTCCTCGTGTTTTCTCTTTTCCTGTAGTCTTCTGTCCCGCGTAGTTTGCGATTAAAGATTAACGCATTCATCTTATGAAGTTTAAGATACCGACAAAGAGCGTCGTTAGAACCATCGATATCAATGGCACGGTTACGTGTGCGTTGCTGATAACGTGTATCTTCCAGCCCAAGTGATTGTGCTGGTAACACTGAAAATTACCACGATTAACTTTATCGTTTCGTGACATTTCGGTTAGGATTCGCCATCTTAGCAGAGGAACCATTTTATTATTCGGTGTCATTATTTGGATCAGAGATTTCCAATTCGGAGACTTGCAATTAAGATTCGGAACTTTATTGTAGGCTAAAACTTATTAACTAATAAATCAGTTTAACCTACCTGGTAATATACCAAATCTGGGGTGTCTTCCGTCACGGTCCAATTGAGTTTGGCCGGTTTACCTTCGTCACATTGCAGTCTAAGGGTTTCGAAGAAATTCTCAAAGGTTTTCATGTCCGCACTCATATCCACTGTCTTGTGAACCCATTCGCAGTAACGACCAGCCGCGGTTGGATAAGGGCGTCCATCGGCGTCGTATTTCACTCCGGCGAATACTTTCTGTTCTTTTTGCTCTTCCTCAGTCTTTTGGCCGAATCCACCTACTGGGCTGTCGGTGATATAGAACGGATGGTACCTGCATCAAATAAATACTTGTACTCTTTGATCGAAACCACGTTCAATCATTACAATAAATTTTACAAAGAATAAAGGTAGCCATGAAATTTTCAATCACCTAGCTGGAATTTCAGGATCATTTCCACCCTCCACTATGAACGTGTAGGTTTGTCCTCTCTCCACAGTGATTTCTGGGATCAGCATGTCATTGATGTACCACGCAATGCCCCAGCTAGGTTGCCCTGTGTTTTAACGTATCATGAATTCTGATGACCTTTGCAGACTCGGAAAAAGTAGATGTATGAAGTACTATTTCTGAATACAAGGTTCTTAATCCTCGCAAGCTTAGGGTAAGTACCTGTGATGCTCGAGTATCCTCTTCTGCCAGCAGCCGGTCCGATCCTCGCGCTGAACGTAGTCTCATTGGTAATTACTATCTGTGGCCAGGGTTTGACTTCAGACTTATCCGGAAGGTTGTCGAGGGAATTTGTACACTCGTGGACGTTTCTCGACGTAAAATCAATACGAATGTCCTCGGTCGTCTTGTCGAAGCTCTCGTGAGCATTAGCTTCTCCTCTAACATTCAGAGGACCTATTGCCGCGATTACGCTGGTTTCCGTGTACGGTATCATCCTGTCCTTCACGGGCTCGTTCGTTCTCATTGGTCTCATGTACGTCACTGGAACACACAAATTTTGTTATATCATGTATCAGTGCATTTAATATCTATAAGATAAGCATCCAAATAAAAGAATGTCTCATCTGTTAAACCTGCTCTTTCTAATCCACTATGTCATTTTTAATAATCCCGCAAATGTCTACCTGTAGTCACGCCGTTTTTCCGTTCTCCATGCACAAGAGCGGCATCGTTCTTCCCTCCAACCCTCTCGTCCGGACACACACCTTTCCTGCCATCGCACTGCGCATATTCTGATATGTAATAGTCCTCCGCGATGAATTCCCCAGTTCTGTTGTTGTAAGCAACGACGACCACATCGCCACCGATCATTTGAGCCTTTCCATCGTGACCCGACAAACCGAAGGCGACATACTGATCCTCTCTGATGCGTCCTGACACTTTTATCTGGATGTCGTCCCCTATCATTTCCCATTGCACCTGAACTCGACCGTCCAACATCTCTTTGCAGTTGGACAGGGACGGTTCTGGAGTACTGCTCGTCTGCAAAAACATTTGTTTCTTTACAACGAAACGTCTTCGAACTGTCACATCGAGAATTAGCGAATGAACCGTTATCTTATTTTTGCAGATGCTTCTGTTACTTACAGGATCGTACCACCAAGATGGCTATTGCATACGGGATCAAGTTTCATTAATTATAGCGTTCCTTCATGAAATATTAACGCGAATTAACGATCAGTTTAGTTACCGTGATTTTAGTTTGTCCAAGGGCTGGCGGGACGTAGATGTCCTTTGGAATGAGGACATGTCCAAAATTGTGCTTGTACTGCACGCACCATACGGCTAACCAGTCGATGTCGTACACGGTCAAGTTTCCGGGTAAAACAATTTCGATGTCCTCTCCTTGGTACCCTTTCAACGGAGCCAAACTGTTGACAAAATAAATTATTAAGCAAAGTAAAAATTCATTCTTTGGGTTTGATCAGTTTTGAGGATAATTCGTGTGGATTATTGGCGACACAGCACCTTTTCCTCTCGTTGGGCACCTTGATGCCGAACGTGTTGGGTTCTGTGCCGTTTCCTACCCAGAAGTAAGCGTCTGGACCAGCACCGTCGTAATGCAAATTAGGGATGTAGAAAGTTTTGCTATCTAGGATGGTGATGTTCTCGCTTCGAAGGCCGTGAGCCAACCTCGAAAATTCCGGCAACACTTTTGTCTTGGGCACCGCGAGATCCGGCTTGATGTACACGTCGGCAAAGTTGACCTGCGACAAATTAGACACACTTGAAATTTTGAGAACGACAATGATCAGAAATGAAACAAATTAAATACGCGAGTATTATAAAATATTCCGAGTGTTTGAAAAGAAGAAAATTACAAATAAATTTTGACGAAGGTTCGATCTCTCTTTTCTAGAGAAGTTAAGAGAGGAGAGTGGTTTTCGACCTCGTACAGGAATCGTCTCATCAACCTGTCTTTCAGGGACCGCATATTTACACCCTCGAAGTCAAAAAAGTCGATCTATCATTCCTTGCTCCCCCCGTTGAAGCTGACGTACCGATAGGGGTTGGGTCGTTTATATTCTAAATTCCGTCAAACCTCTGAGAAGGGAGTAAAAGAGAGAGGGGGATGGAAAACGATGAAAGTAAAAAAAAGAAGGATCCGAAACGGGACCTCGTAAAATCCGAGAAACGGATTCCATCGTATACAGGGTGATCTACTCCCTTTACCCTCGAGGGAGCGTTTTATGGGAGAAAATTCAACGCTCGCGACGATTTCTCAACTCATTCCGTAACCCCGTACAAATCTATTTCGCATACGATACAATTTTATACACTTTCCTTTTCCTTCTTTTATTTCCAATTTGTTTCCTTCCAATCCCCACTACTTAGCTGCGTGTACTTTCTTAAACCCAATTGCTGGCGTTAAGATAAATTTTTCTTCGATTAATTCTGATGGGATTAAAGCTCCGCAGATACGTGTTCGCGCGGTTGGTTCAACGATTAACCGATTCTATCGCGTCATATTTTTCTATTGTCTCCTTCTTCCTCATTTTTTTATCGACTTTCGAAAAGTGTGCCAAGAGTCGAAGATTGAAAAGTCGGTGAATATCTTCGACGTCTTCGATATTCCGCTCAAGGCTACTGTATACGTGGCCTGATTCCGCCGTTTCGAGATGTTCTTCGGAACCGGGACCCAGACTTCTGTCTACAAAGGAATCGATACGCGCGATACCTTGAACTGGCGATATGAGTTTCCATATCAGGGTCGTTCAATTCGTTAAATTACCTATTTGCTTTTCCCTTTCTGGCGGCCTCTGGCCTGGAAACGTGACGTTAACTCGGCCACGAAATTTTCACCAAGAGAAACTTTTCAACTTCTATCGTTTATTGCCACTGCGCTTCCATGCACTGGAGAAAAATTTCGAACTTCGTTCAAAATATTAAGAACTACTTTGAAGCTGGAATTCGTGCAAGAAATTCAACAAGTTTAACCCTTAAATGCATGATTTTCCAATCGTCTCATCAACCTGTCTTTCAGGGACCGCATATTTACACCCTCGAAGTCAAAAAAGTCGATCTATCATTCCTTGCTCCCCCCGTTGAAGCTGACGTACCGATAGGGGTTGGGTCGTTTATATTCTAAATTCCGTCAAACCTCTGAGAAGGGAGTAAAAGAGAGAGGGGGATGGAAAACGATGAAAGTAAAAAAAAGAAGGATCCGAAACGGGACCTCGTAAAATCCGAGAAACGGATTCCATCGTATACAGGGTGATCTACTCCCTTTACCCTCGAGGGAGCGTTTTATGGGAGAAAATTCAACGCTCGCGACGATTTCTCAACTCATTCCGTAACCCCGTACAAATCTATTTCGCATACGATACAATTTTATACACTTTCCTTTTCCTTCTTTTATTTCCAATTTGTTTCCTTCCAATCCCCACTACTTAGCTGCGTGTACTTTCTTAAACCCAATTGCTGGCGTTAAGATAAATTTTTCTTCGATTAATTCTGATGGGATTAAAGCTCCGCAGATACGTGTTCGCGCGGTTGGTTCAACGATTAACCGATTCTATCGCGTCATATTTTTCTATTGTCTCCTTCTTCCTCATTTTTTTATCGACTTTCGAAAAGTGTGCCAAGAGTCGAAGATTGAAAAGTCGGTGAATATCTTCGACGTCTTCGATATTCCGCTCAAGGCTACTGTATACGTGGCCTGATTCCGCCGTTTCGAGATGTTCTTCGGAACCGGGACCCAGACTTCTGTCTACAAAGGAATCGATACGCGCGATACCTTGAACTGGCGATATGAGTTTCCATATCAGGGTCGTTCAATTCGTTAAATTACCTATTTGCTTTTCCCTTTCTGGCGGCCTCTGGCCTGGAAACGTGACGTTAACTCGGCCACGAAATTTTCACCAAGAGAAACTTTTCAACTTCTATCGTTTATTGCCACTGCGCTTCCATGCACTGGAGAAAAATTTCGAACTTCGTTCAAAATATTAAGAACTACTTTGAAGCTGGAATTCGTGCAAGAAATTCAACAAGTTTAACCCTTAAATGCATGATTTTCCAATTTTACCAAAAGTTATCAACTAACAAAATACCTTGAAAGCGGTTGATTCAAATTAAAACGAACAGACGACGCTATTGTGTATTTGATTGGTACGTGGCATATCTGCAACACTACTCATTGCAGGTTTCCTACATTTAATTTATAAGATTAAAACTGGTATGTTGCATTTATACAACTATACGCATTTAAGGGTTAAATACCTTATTTTTCTCGAAAGTTCACGAATGTTTCAAGATTCGATTTTGCAATTTTTGAGATTTTAATACGGGTCCAAATGTCGCGTGAATAAAGAGGCGAGCATTCGAAACGAAACTTTAACTCGAAAAGGAAGATCGATTAATAATTTTCCTCCGAGCTCGGTAGCCAAGAAAACTTCTTCATTAACTGAACCGGTACCTTTCAAAGGGGGACCGAGGCGGTCGCCGCGTTGCTTCTAGAAATTAATCTTGCACCGATGTACACTCCTTTCAACCATTCAACCGGCAAATTAATGCTGACCTTTATTTTTAAACGGTGCGACTGAAAGGCAACTTTCCGAGTTGCCGGGAAGGAAGTCAAGGGAACCCAGTGATACTTCAAAGGATAGTAAAAGTATAATTTACTCTACAGTCTTATTTGCACCGAGCTAATTTTACTTGCTCGGTTCTCTAATTATACGAAATTTAATTACCAAAAATGGAGGCATGGTTAGACTGAGTCATTCGATCGAGAAAGACAATACGTCGCTGACCTTCTGGACAGATCAACATCTACATGTTTGGCGCCAAAAAGTTCTACGTAAGAATTCGTATAAGTATATTGCAGTAAGGTGTATTAAATTTCTTAGCAGTTCAGTCCTGGAAGCTTGTTTAATTTGAAGGACATTAAGAAGAAAAGTAGTCCCTTTGAGAAGTCGGCACTTCGTCGGGTACTAATTCCATCGTTAATAATAATGATTATCGGCGAACCGAGTCGACGTTTCCCTCGGGGGTTTCGAAATTTGCACACGCATTAATCCCATTTCGTTTAAGGGCTCGTCAATCATATCCACCCTCGGCGAGCGGTTGTGTGCACACGTATACAGAGAAAGAGCGAGAAGGATGGGCGGATAGAACGGAGATGTTGGATACCAATGAACTAGGACTCGAGCTTAATGGTGTTTTGAGTGGGCACGATCTACTCAAAATTGGTCCTCGTGCAAGTACGCGACTCGAGAGTTTACCCCACAATTTCCTCGCTGAATTTCGAAGCCATCGTATTAATCGATGCTTGATTCCTTATCATTATATTCAAATATCCTGAGGTTCTCACCTTGCTAAATTTGTAAATTTAAAAATGTACAAGATTGCAGCAGCAGCTTCAGATTTTGGACTTAAGGTTATGTAGAGTTTAAGGGGGGAACTGGTGAATGATACAATTTAGTTACCATTTAGATAGTAAGACACCAGCGGTAGTTTATAAACCGGGATAGTCGCGAGGGTTCCTCGTCAATTCGATACCTTTGATCTGATCGTTATAGTCCCAGTTTCGACGGGGGTTGCTGCAGCCCCTAATAGACTGTTTATCTCGTAAGCCCGGATTTAGATTCGGATCGGGTTCTATTATGCCATCCGTAAGTCTGTGTATGCGACACACAACCACTTGTGCGTGAACCTCTATGGTACACGTGGCACGATACGCTTTTTACACGATTTCCGATTTGCAACTTTTCACGCAAAAATATTCTCGGAAAATTAACATGCAAACAGAAGTTTTCAAGTTCATTTTCAGGAGTAAATCTTTTACCCTGAAAGGGAAAAGTTTGAAAGGAAGAAAGAATTGAAAACAATAGACCCGGGAGATCTATCGGTTATTTTTTTCGAAATTATTTAGGGAAAAAGCGTAAACGAGGCTTCGTTACATTGATCTGGATTACGATTCATCCAGGCACCCTCTGGACACAATTCACAGGGTTGGCTGGTCCCCGTGGACGGTCGCGATACGGCCGATGCTGATATACTCGTTATAGCGCAGGCGGGTGCTCGAGCAGTCGATATTCAATCAAATAAATCCCCCTAATAAACTGGAGAGTCAGAGATAGCATCAAGAAACAATTGCAGAGAAAGGGAGCGACTACGCGATCAGGCACGTAGAAATCTAACAACGTTCTGATAGCTAGAAGAAAAGTACCTATTCTTTTGCAACAATATTTTTCCTAAAGACCACTGTGGTAGTTAACCTTAAGTTCTCTGAATGCAAAAAATCATACTTTCAACATTTTCTAATTAGCTCCACAAGTTTTCTGTATCTTTGCCTTTCTGAAAATTAATTAAGCTTTAAAAAAATAAAAAATGTCAGATGTTTTTCGGCTACTAAATCACTGCAAATGGTACCGAGCGTTATCGAATCAATCGTCCGTTATGAGAGGACACTGAACGATGGCTACGGGGAAATATAGCATGATCCAGGAGCAATAAAGTGCAGCACAATGTGCGTTGGGTCTCGCCGAATAAGGGGCGTTGCTATCGAGCCTAACGAGGCTGGATGTCTCAATTTCCGTAAGAACGTGCGCCCCGCGACAAGAGGGGGTGACCAGAAGGGGAACGGCTGACTGGGGATGATACGGGGCTGATAAGGTGTTAAAATAATATACAGCTATGACCTGTCTGGGGTTTGCTCGATAGCGATCCTTCTCCTCTCTTTCTACCAATGCATACGAATAGAACAATC